CGTCGAAAAGAAATTGCCGGGCGAGATGATGATGGCTGCCGAGATGGATGAACGCGTTGCGATAACGTGGGTCGTGATTGTTCTTGCAGACGCTTCTGCTTACGAGAACTGATGATGTGCGTAGTAGAGCTGGGAGGCGTGCCTGCCTAGTATGAGCTAGATGGGGCGCAATATTCATTTTGCGTCTTAGTCTGGCAAGAACGAGAGCGTACGCTGTCGTGACGTTCTTCGATTAACAGAATTACCTCTAGGCCCTTCCCTTCAGCCTGAAAAGTATTGCGATGTATACCTTGGTACAGTTCAAAGACAGAGCCGACTGTACATTTGTGAGCCGCGATGTACAAAGGCATCGGATACACAACATCGTCGCGCTCAGGCTCTCGCTCGCTCTGTCCTATCTTTAACCAGAGCTGGCCATCGCAAAAGCGCTTACATCGTTGCTGTTCGATATATTGAAGACAGACACATGCTGAATATCGATAGAGACATACGCATCTGAGTAGAGTATCGGATCAGAACGATGATGAGTGCCGGTCCTTGAGTCGGACATGGAGTACTTGCAGCTTGCAGGTCGGCAATGTATCCAGATTTTGAGGTCAGTTTGGATTGGCATGGTCGCAGTAGTGGCAGCATCAGCAGCTCAGACTGGCGTAAAGAACTGTCGCAAAGAAGCACATGGAGTCGTGCGTTCAACGTGTAGCCTAATCACGCAGTAGAGATCGTTCAGCAATTCACCCCTCACCAGATCACACAGGCCAGATCTGAACTGTTATTGCCTTCGCAGTCGAAGCGCGCGTCTGACATGACGGTACGAGCAGGCAGTCCGCCAGATGCAGCGACAGTTCGCCGCAGCGACATGCGTCCATTGTATCCGAACTGCTACCTCACAGGCGAGCGACAAGACGTGTGTTAGTTGTTGGCGTTGGCTGTCATGCAGACGTTGGTGATGGGCAAGCTCACCTCGTTGGAGATGAAGTCACGCTAATGGGTCCGTGCACCACAAACTCGAATATTCAGTTCGCTTAGTCGAGCCACCTGGAATTCGCATCCATCGAGCTCTCCATCACGACAACTAACCTCACAGCACACCGGAGTCGAGCAAAATGTCGACATTCGAACCCGTCATTGTACGTACGCCCCGATAGACGCAGCCCGATATCCCAGGCACTGGCCTTCGCATGCCGCCGCGATGCCAGCCTGCAATCCCGTCAACACCACGCATCTTCCTTGGACGTCTCGCTGACAGCGCACGCAGGTTATCGACGGCAAGGGCCACTTGCTCGGTCGCCTCGCCAGCACCGTCGCCAAGCAGCTCCTCAACGGCCAGAAGATCGTTGTTGTGCGATGCGAGGCCCTCAACATCTCCGGCGAGTTCTTCCGCGCCAAGTGTACGTACACCCACCGAGCGAGCGAGCGAGATCAGGAGCAAGCCATGGAGTGCAATTGGTACATGGGGCTACAAGAGGACGATGTGGTCGGCGATGTGCACTTTGGCTGCTTTTTGGCAGAGCGCTCTAGGGACAATTTTCTGGCAAGACAGCAACTGACATGACCCTACAGTGAAGTACTCTGCTTTCCTGCGCAAGCAGACCCGTTACAACCCCACTCGTGGTGGTACGTCTCCCCGTCCATACACGGCGCATTCGCGGTCCAACGTCGAATGTGCGCGTTACTAGCCGACATGTGCTGACCCATCTGCCAGGTCCCTTCCACTTCCGCGCTCCCTCCAAGATGTTCTGGCGAACCGTCCGCGGTATGATTCCTCACAAGACTCCCCGCGGTAAGGCCGCCATGGAGCGCTTGAAGACCTTCGAGGGTGTCCCCGCTCCCTACGACAAGAAGAAGCGCGTCGTCGTTCCCCAGGCCCTGAGGGTGCTGAGGCTCAAGCCCGGACGCAAGTACTGCACTGTCGGCCGTCTCGGACACGAGTTCGGCTGGAAGTACCAGGACGTCGTTGCCCGGTATGTCGCTCCAATTCCTGCATGCGAGATCAGAAATGCTAATCCATACGCAGTCTTGAGGAGCGCAGGAAGGTCAAGGGTGCCGCATACTACGAGCGCAAGAAGGCTATCCGCCGGCAGATGGCTGAGGCCAAGAAGACGGCCACTGTCGACTCCAAGGTCCAGCAAGAGCTCACATCCCTCGCATACTAGAAATCGGCAGTCGATGAACAGTGTCGGTTTCAGTTTCGGTGACGTGGTTCGGCGTGGATTGCATTGGGCTCATGGGATGTTTATTTCCTCTACTATACTCCGACCATTCGAAAGGGTGTCCAGGCTAAAAGAGCACATCAATACCAGGGTGCTTACGTGTTCATGGGTCTCTTCGCGGTCGGTCTGCTGTGTCTTCAGGTACTCTTCCGGCTAGAAGCAATACGAAACGAAAAATCCCAGCTGATGTAAAGCATGGTGACGGCGTTGAGCATTCAGCAATAGACTTGTGGTTATGTTAATTCACTCACGATTCCCTTTATGCTTTGCATCCACCCTGCCGTGACAAGATGGACAAGTACCTTGCACAACAGCCTCGTAGTCCGATGTGTCTGCGATCCGACGCGGGCGGGAGGATAGGGTATGCCTATTGGCGCTTAACCTCGGCTGTGACGTCGTGCCGCACCGGAACCGGTACCCTTCCCCAGATTTCCCCATGGCTGGGAGCTTCAGGGTCGGCTGTCAGTCATTGCGCCCTGTAAGAAACGTATTAGATCACGTTGTTCAGAGTATCGCGACATCCTTCTTTCCGCCGTCGCGCACCCCTGTCAAAAGTCGCGTCCTGCAGCCCTCTCATCGCTCAAGACCTCGGACATCTCTCGCATCTCGTCCCACAGCGGAGCTACTCCGCACTCTGGCGTCTGTAGCATCAGCTCAGCTGGGCCAAACTGTAGATCGATATTTCCGTCGCGTGTATATAAGCTGCTGTTAGAACGTCGATCCACCAGATCCTCGTGCAGATACAATGGAAGGTGCGAAAGATCGTCTCAAGCAACTCGCGTCGCATTTCACGTCCGCCAACCCCGTCCCTGGGCCACCGCCCATCCATCCCGGCGACAGCCACGAATACCATCATCGACACAATTTCCACACCCTCAGTCCGACATGGTTCCTCTGGCGCGCGGCGCAAATCGAGCCAGACGCCATGGCAATATACCACAAGACGGCGAACGGCAAGATCCTACGGCGCTCTTACGCTGAAGCTGCGGACCGCGCACGAGGGCTGGCATACTACCTGAGGAAACACGGGTATAAGAGAGTAGGCATATTGGCGACAAACACACCAGCATTCCTGGAGAGCACATTCGGTATCGCGGCGGCAGGAGGTGTGAATGTCGCTATCAACTACCGGTTGAAGCACGACGACATCAGTTACATCTTCCAGCACTCGGACGTGGACATGATCATTGCCGATGCTGAGTTTGTGGGCTTGTTGGACGAATACAAGAAGGAAAGACCAAACGTACCCATACTGATCGACACAGACACGGATGCGACAGAAGGCGAACTCTCTGGTCCTTTCGACGATGCAGTACTCGAGGGATTGAAGTACGATATTGAACAAGGAAGCAAGGGCTGGGCAGATCTGGAATCGCAGGCGAAGGACGAAGAAGACGTCATGGCACTCGCATACACCAGCGGAACAACAGCACAGCCGAAGGGGGTCGAATACACACATCGCGGCGTCTACCTTGCTGCCATGGGCAATGTCATCGAGTCTGGGCTGAACTATCACACCGGCCGCGCAAAGTATCTCTGGACTCTGCCAATGTTCCACGCGACGGGCTGGACATTCCCGTGGTCAGTCACCGCCGTCCGAGGAACGCACTATTGCCTCCGCAAGATCGACTACGCAGAGATCTGGCGCCTGCTCAAGGAGGAAGGCATCACGCATTTCAACGCCGCACCAACCGTCAACACCCTACTCTGCGCAGCGAAGGAAGCAGAGCGCCTACCCCAGCCAGTCAGAGTCACCGTAGCCGCAAGTCCACCGAGCGCATGGCTCTTCGAACAGATGTCAAACCTGAACCTACACCCCGTCCACGTCTACGGTCTTACGGAAACGTACGGTCCGATCACGAAAGGCTACCACATGCCCGAATGGGAATCGCTGCCCGAGAAGACGAAATACGATCGTATGGCACGGCAAGGCCACGGCTTTATCATGGGCAAAGCGACGCGAGTCATCAAGACTGAGCAGCCGGAAGGTGTCCTCAACGACGTGGAACGAGACGGCAAAGAAATTGGAGAAGTCATCTTCGAAGGCAACATCTGCGCAAAGGGCTACTACAAAGATGCCGAAGCGACGCGCAAGTTGTGGGAGGGCGGTTGGTTGCATACAGGCGATCTAGCCGTTTGGCATCCAGATGGAGCAATCCAGATCTTGGATCGTGCGAAGGACATCATCATCAGTGGTATGTTGTTGACTTTCCGAGTCTCACTCTTTTGAAGCGGCTTGCTAACCAAATGGCTCACAGGCGGCGAGAACATCTCCAGCGTAGCGCTCGAAGCCATGCTTTCCACGCACCCCTCCATCCTCGAAGTCGGCGTCTGCGCCGTGCCGGACTCACACTGGGGCGAGCGGCCCAAGGCTTTTGTCACCACAAAGGACGGCACAAACAGCGACACGTTGGGCGATGAGGTGATTCAGTGGGCCAAGGAGAACAGCAACATCAGTCGCTTCATGGTGCCCAGGGAGGTCGTGGTGGTCAAGGAACTGCCCAAGACGAGCACGGGGAAGATACAGAAGAACGTACTCAGGGAGTGGGCGAGGAAGGGCAGTGTAGAGTAGCTGTGCTTATGGAAAACATATCATACCTCCTCCACGGAGCCTCTCGGTCGCAAACACAGATGCAGAGTCATGTGTCTGCACCACGCGTGAAATCTGAGCATGTGGTGAAGCAGCGTGGTAAGGGAAGCAATCGATGCTAATTTTCTATTGAAAAGGAAAAGGAACTCAACGAGCCTGCGGTACTGACTCAGTTGTCAATTACTCTTAGTCGATTCATCATGTCTTCACCCGACCGAAAATTCATCAACACAAGCAAGATAATCAGCGATTCTGTAGCTGAGGCCATCTACAACGGACTTGAGGACAAGGTCGCTACGGAAAACATTGCTGCTGGACGTGTAGGAAAGTTTAAAGGCGATCCTAAATTCGCAGAGGCCAAAGCATATGCCGATTCAGAAGTCTCCAAGCGACTGCCCGCGGCTATTTTACATGCTGAGGTTGAAGCTAGGGCCGGACAGGGAGATCAGGGTGCAGGTAAATACCCCTCGCTATTCTGCTTAATGCTGGTCAGCTGACTCATTGAATGATTCTGAAGCATCTGCAACACAATTACTGAAACAGTACAAAGATTTTGTCCTCTCCAAGCTGCCTGTATCAGAGGAAGTTCAGAGCCAGATACGCGGGCTGTTTCAACAATACGGTTGGCCAACAGTCTGGCAGTCTCTTGACTCAATCGAGGGCTGCGGAGATGGTCCTACATCGACTTGGCAAGATGTGGACAATGACCTGCTCGTGAGGCTAGGGGACGAGAAACTGCTGGGAATGAACAAGATAGCAGAGTACGTTTTCATTGGTATGCGAGTCAGTCAGTGTCGTGACCAGTATAATTTTCTGACAACGGAATGAGAGGGGGGTTTAGAATATGTGTATAGTTTCGCTGTATACACACTGAATTAGCTGAATTGGCAAGATACTGTCGTTATGACCCTTCGCCGAGGATCGCACCTTCTGTTGAGGGTCACAGGAAGTGCCGGTACGATCTCAATACCACGTGCCCCCCTACAAACGAAAGAGTACCTAGGTAAACACCAATATGAGTCCTACGTCAACGTAATATCTTGGGTCGCAATGATACGTCGTGGCAAGCATGACCCCGTCCTACTGACTGATTTCGCATCAAGTTTGCATGTCAGCAAACAGAGAGTCATATATAGCGCTGAAGCCAACCCTTGTGTAATTCCTAACTAATACCTATAATGGCCTCCGCATCATCTAGTGCAGACGTTCCCGCACCAGGCCCACAACTACCTGGCGACCAAGCGCTAGACGACGTCGAGGAAATCCGAGATCTAGTCGCACGACGCAACAGAGCGCTCGACTCGTTAGACCTTGATCAACTCGAGAGAGATGGGTTACATACGGATTTGAGTGAGATAGGTTGGCCGGTATCTCTTTGCAAAGGTGGCTCACAGACAGCGAGGCCGAAGAATGAGTCGTTCGATGTCCGCGACCTCTATGCGCTACTCTGTATCATGCGGCACATGATGATGCGGCACAGCGATGTTGTGACCGGTGACTTGCGTCTCTTCTTTAAGAATCAGAACAGCAAAAGGTTTGGCAATAAGTGGAGCAATATGCAACGAACATGCAGCAAATATTGGAAGGAAGCAGATGACAAGGACCTGATACAGCTGTACGAGGGCGTCAACAAGACTTTCAAGGATATTGCTCGAGAGAACTTCGCAGAGTTTCGAGAAGCCGTGAGGAGCTTTTCGGAACCGGATATGCAGATCGAGATCGCGTTTCTTATTGCGAAGAAAAGGGAAGTGAAAGAATCCGACGATGACGCAGGTAACAGTGCTGGTGACGGAAATTAGGACGCCAGGGGAGAACAATCCTGTGTCGCTGCCTCAATTGAAACGTTTTACAGAGCTGTAGTCAGCAGGTACACATATCTGAGGTAGTCTCTTATTATCAGGAGGTGATGTCGCCGGGGGTGGGAGAGATGGATGCTGGCACGTAGCTTCCAATTCCACGATCGCTAAGATTCTGGCGCGAGCTGCTAACCCAACTGGACGTGTGACTTCCGTAATCCCAATAAGCTTGGAAGGGCGTTGATCTCCAGACAACTGAGCTGAATCACACCAAGCTGTTGCATCGACGCCTTCATCGCAACATGACCCTTCTTGTCACCATAAGCGTTCACATCACCCACCCGTGAATCCCCACGAACACCACATCGAACCAAGCCTGCGCCGCCATGAACACTACTGCCCAATTCGGTGTCTCAAGCCCTTCACACCACATCTTGTATGCCTGCCAGATCGCCACATGAGCCGCTGCCAGCACCGCCTTCCCAGCAATCGCAACACCGATAGTGATCTTGCGCTTGAGAACCGAGCCGCTTTCTTTGTCATGCGCGATGAACACGAGATAGGCGACCCAGAAGCACGTTGATACTACGAGAGAGATGGATGCGAAATACGGAAGGAGGGGCGCAGTGCCGGGATGTGGGGTGTGAGGCTGCGTGAGACGTCAATAGAGGACTATCAAATCTGGTTGATTACTTACAGGATCCGCTTTTGTACCACTGCTTCGACTTGCCCAGATGGTCGCAAAGATAGCGCTGACACAGGAGACAAACACGAAGAGAGCATTCATCAGCGCGCGAGCGGCATTGGTGTGCTTTGCAACAAGACGGTATTCGCTTGAGCGGGGGCGCTGGGTGGCTGCCCCGTAGGAAGGCAGGAGAGGTTATTGTGACATGTTTTGTATTGTGTACTGCGTATGTCTTTGATACTTGCTGCTAATAGAGAGAGTGTCCAGTTTGTGTTGGAGCTCTCGAAGAGAAAGTGGGGTAAATAAGGCGTGGTGGTACAAGAGACCAAAGCTCAGCCTGCCTGTGCCACCTCGAAATTCCCTGCACGTACTCAACCGCCGTACGTATCCTATACCCCATAGATCAGGCTATCAAATGGGTTCCAACCAGGCTCGCGAAGGTAGGCTTCCATCATGAATTCCCCAAACTTTGCCACGACCATGAAATCCCACCAAGCTTGCCCTGCCGAGTAGATCCAGAGCAGAAAAGGCACCCATGAATCTTCGTGCAGAGCTCGGTGATACCAAAATCCTCCCAGGCAAGCCGAAGCGCATCCCACTTTCCCCATGATCGAAACTATAACCACGAAGCAGCGATGTGTTGCGCAAGCGGTCACGCTCCTGTCGCGCGCAACGAGAACAAGGTAGGCGATCCAGAAGGTAGTGCAAAAACCGAGAGCAAGACCTATGCAGAGGTATAGGAGCAATGTCTTCTCAGTGGGCGGACTGACAGGCTGTTCACGAAAATTTCAGTGTGCGTTCTAGATATTTGAGGCCCTGAAGAGTCTGTTACTTACTGTTTGATCGCTGTCCGTACTGTATGGTAACGCCCAGATAGTGGTGAGCATGGCGATGACGAAGAACATGCGTACGAAAACGTTGGCGATTTCCTTCTTGATAGTCATTGCTCTCTGGATACTGCAGCCGCCGAGAGTGTGCTCTGCTACACTCTCGCCGCATTGTTGATAATGGCGGGACTGCGGCGCTTCGTATGAACCTGCCAGTAGCGGTTCTGTTGGATCCATCCTGGCAGTCAAGTCAGAAGTAGTGTGTTGATGTTGCTTTCTGGTAGAATTGCAGGCTAAAGAGTGTGTAGTGGGGGTGGTGCGGTTTGATTGCGTTGACAACACAGCTGACTAAAGGTCACCCACCCTAGATCGAGCTCAGGGTCTAAAGCTCGTTGAAGAAGAATCGTGTTCTATATCTACTGTACAAGAATGTTCTATCGGTCTTTTGATCTACAGACACAGGACCGCACCGAAACATCCTTTAGTACTCTCAAAAAACTCGAACGTATACTCACAGAATCTATCGTTTCCTCTTCTCCTCCTCCAACTTCTTAGCCGCAGCCTTCTTTGCCTTCTCCCTCCTCCCCACCGCCGCTTCCGCACCAATACCGCCAAACACCAGTCCAACACCTAGCCACTGCATGCCGGTAATCTCATGACCGAACCACCACACACTCCAAACCATGGTCAGCATCTTCCTCGTAACTGTTACTGTAACAAGCAGCAATGAGCTGAAGTGGGCTAGGGTGTGGAAGATGAAGACCTGGCCTATAGCGCCACAGGCAGAGAACATGAGGACGTCCCAGCCGACAGCGGGGTATGTGGTTATGAACGAGAGCGCATCGGATAGTTCACCGGATGAGGAGTGTGGGTCAAGGCCAATCCAGCCAGCGAGGGGCGTGGAGGCAAGGAGAGGTGTGATGAGGAGGTAGGATACTGTCAGTGCTGTTGACATGATGTTCTGGGCGCACATCATCTGGGGTCCGGTGAAACCTTTGAAACTGCTGAAAATGTGATCTTGAACCGTGTTCGTAAGGCCGTCGAAGAGAAGATTCACCCCGAGCAGAATTAGACCAATAGTTTGCGAGGCGTCAGCGCTGACACCCTTCTTCGCGGCCTTCTTCGCCGTGGACGGGCTGTGTAGTGTAAAGACCGCGACACCGAGGGTTACGAAACCGACGACGGCGTACTTGTACATTGGGTATCGCTTCTGGAAGAGCGAAATGTGGAGGAACATGACCGGGAGCAGTTTGCAGCTCTTGGCTAGGATGAAGGTGACGTAGTCAATGTGCTTGAGACTTGCGTATCCGAAGGGGGACGCGAGCGATGATGTGACGGCGATTCCGAGGAGCGGCATAAGGATGTCCTTCGAGGGGAAGATGGGTAGCACCTTGCGCACGCCGGTCTTGGGGTCTTTCTTCGCGGACAGGTTGAGGTAGAGGAGGCCGGTGATGGCAGCGAAGGCGGATTGGACGGTGTTGAGGAAGATGGAGTACGTGAAGCGCTGGTTGCTGGGGCCGTGGGTGGTGGTTGTTAATCGCTCTTGGATCCATGCCCAGGTCATGCTATCATTTGTTAGCTATGTTCCCGTCTAACGTAATATTGTACATTGCGACCTCATACACGAAAAAAGCTGAACAGGTCTGCAGCCTACATTGACGTAAAAACGTACAAAGTAGGCGACGTAACGTCAACGTAGGCTCTAGGGTGACTTACAAACTTCCATATATACCAGCGACACAGATTACCAACTGGAACAGCCCTGCTTCCTTCTGCTCCTGAGGGTTCCGCGCATGGAGCTCTGCTTGCTCCTCCAGCTTCTGCTCGATCGAATGCACCGCACCGTCCAATTGATGGACGCCATCCAATTGGTGCTGCGCATCTCCCTTCGCGTTTCCATTCGTCTCATTGACCTTGCGCCGAGAGGCTTCCATTGTGCGTGCTGTATCGTGGGTATCGCTAGTGACGTCGTGGAAGTTGATTGAGGAAGGCGCGCGCCGCGTTCGTGTTGGGGCGTGTCGCGCTGTGTGTAAAGGAGTGGACTGCGCGATGGGGGTACGCGAGGAATACAGAGAAACAATGTTTCTTGAGCGACGGTGGGTCAGTGGAAAGTGTACACCTGGCTTTAGGTTTAGATTACACCTGCGCCATAGGCAGTTCCTAAGCTTCAACCGTGGCATCAATTGACCGGGGCTAAGACGGAGTTAACCGAGCACGGGCCGTGTTTGAGCCTCAGGGATCGACTCGACCGGGGCGCGCCACCCACTCGCTAGTGTGTGGAGCGAGCGCCGCTTCACTGCGAGCTGGAGGAGCACACACATGATGCAAAGGGCGCGAACCTGCCGACTGAGTTTTCATGGGGTTGTGTCATTTATTGTGGGAGAAGGTGTCTACGCATAGTCTGGAAAAGGCATCAAAGCGTTCTCCGCGCTTACCGCTCCAGCCGTTCATAAGGTCGTGAAAATATGCTCGCTAAAAAAGAAGATCCAAGGCCAAACGCCAGCAGATGCAGCCCCCACTCTGTTCCGGGGCCCAGAATGCAAGCTCACGCCTCACCTCTGACAATCTTCGAAACAGCGCTCTTGACCAGCACCCACATTGGCCCAGCGTTGACTTCCTTGCCGCCACCCTCTTCCATCCCGCACTTCCTCTTCCACGCATCTCTCCACCCTCGCTCCGTATCCTTTTGCTTGAGCCTCATCAGCTGCCCCGCTCGCTTTCCTTGCCTTCTGTACCCCGCCATGAATGCGTCCCATTCTTTCCTCTCCTTGACGAAGACGACTACTCCGTTTCCTGCATCGATAGGCTGGCTGCCTCTAGATAGAATCCGCGCTTCCCATGCGCTGCCCATGGACTGAAACGTGAAGTTCGCGCTATGCAAGACGTAGTAGCGCTTCCGCTTGCCGAACTTTGACGCAGCGTTGGAGGAGGGCGTGATCCAGTGTGTTGCGCGTGAGTAGATGCCGTCTGCCAGTGCTTCGTGGAGAAGCTCTGAAGGGATGTACTGGCGGCACTGAAGAAGCAACTTGTTACGGAGCAGACTGATGTCGATGTCTGGGTGGGCAGTAGGTATTTGTGGCGAATGAGACAACAGTGCCTTGGTTTGCGTACGCGTTGATCGCGCTGGTGGCTTCGATATGCGTCCTGATGCTCGAATGACAGTGACTGGGTTGCTGAATTGGTGAGGGGTAATTGTCTGCGTTTGGATGGGCGCCATGATAGTCGTGGTGCTCAGTTGAGAGTGGTGTGTGCTTTGTAGGCGGTGTCAAGTCTCGTAGGCTTCAAGCCGTGAATCCGTATGGTGTCGTCTGGTAGGGAAGATGTGGATGGAGTAAGGAATATTGTGGAGGAGCAGAAGCGAGGCAGAGAGGGAACATGCGGTCAAGAAATCATCTTTAACCATCATGCACCCCTTCCTAGAAGAGCTAGCTCCTGAAAAGAAACAGCTACTACCCAGCCTTCGGAAATCAGTCGGGGTGCCAAATCTGTCTCTGCCCTAGTCTACCGCCTGCCCGCGTCTGGCGTCTGGGCGATCCTGGAAGGATTAGCGAGGCACACGAGGCCTGCCTGCCGAACCTCACCGTGGGCGAGCATCCCGCGCCTGCAGCGTTTGCCGTTCGGGCTTGTGCTCCTCCAAGGACTCCTTTGACGGAACGCCTTCCTCTCACTGCTGAACCCTCTGTGGAAAGCTCAGTTGTTGTGGCGAAGACATCGTGCTCAGGTGCTCAGGTGCTCAGCGTCCGAGCGTGACACTAATGACGTATTCCCGATTGGAGGGTCCAACGGTTCGGAACATCTGGGCAGCCTCGTTCTGCACGTGCAATGCTGCACTCATTTCCCCTTGGGCAGCACCATCATCAAACGTTCGCAAGTACCACATCACGTTACGAGTAGTTCGCAGTCTAGACACTATCATCATAGAATTCTAAATATTGGTAGTAGATATTGTTTGTTTGTATCGGAGTGTCGGTAGGGGAGCAAGGGAGAGGGAAAGGTTTCGGGTAAGGAGTGAGGGAGTGATTAGGAAGGTACATCGGAGTGTCGGAGTAGAGCTCGGGACGTGGTGAGAAGCTTCTCACTTCTTCCCAACTCTTCTTCGCCAAGAAAACCCAAAGATGGATGTCAGAGCTGCTACCCTTGAGCAGATGTACTATCCGGATATCAAAGGCCATAACGTCATGACATTCGTGAGCCGCTCAGCGTGCACTCAGTTCTCTCTCGACAATAGTAAGAAAAGTAAATAATGCTCCAGACAATCCGTGGTATCCATCAGTAACAGCAAGTAAGAAATTCAGCAATTCCATGCTTTTGTTGTCGGTTTTCGTGGTCTCCGTTTCGGGAGACATGAATGCAGATGGCGACGGACGTGAAGAGCTGGCGACTGGTAGCGAGGCCTGCACGGCCTCAAGCTATCTTGCACCTCCCAAGAGGGTTGGCAATACCCAACGGCGCCGACGTTGGGTAGCAGATGCGCTAGAGAACGGTCTACTCCTGGGCCTGGCTGCGGCGCATCTTCTCGGCCTCCAAGTTCTCGTACAGCAGATAGAGAGCCTTCTCATTGGCACTGGCACTACCAGTGATGGTGAACATGCGCTCGCCGGTGTCATCATGAGGTGCCTTGGCGATGGAGATGCGGGCGTTGGACGTCTTGCGGATCTCGCTGATCTTGCTACCGCCGCGTCCGATGATACAGCCGACCATGTCAGACGGGATGCTGATGTTCTGGGTCTGCATCTCTTCGCCATCCTCGGTGTGCGTTGGGGGCGGGGGCCTGCTGGCGGCATCGGAGCCAGATCGTCGAGAAAAGGCAGGAGGCGAGTCACTGAAGTCAGCGCCGTGACCAGTGCGGTTGTACGAGCGTCCGCCCATACCACCGGCGGGTGCGCCACCGCCGTTGGACAGAGGGACCGGACCAGCACCAGGCTGAACCCTGACGGCGGGGTTGTAGAGGACAGTGCCGTAGCCGCGCTCGTGGTCGTCGATGAGGCACTTGCCAATCTCCCAGATAGCCTTCTCGATACCGCCGGGCGAGCCCTGGACTTCGACGATGCGCTCGGTGGACTGGGGGAGCATCTCCTTCTGTGCGACCATGCGTACGCCGGAGGCATCCTGGATCTGCTTGATCTTCAGGCCCTGGCGACCAATGATGGTGCCCATTTGGTTGTGCGAGATGAGCAGGCGGATGGCTACAGAAATTAGCTTGGTATCAGCGCTTGTACGCAGCCATGTCGCTAGGAAGCGCCGGGGTGTCGCAATTGTACGTACGATGAGTGCCGTCGGTGCGGATAACGCCGCCCATGCCCATAGCAGGGGCGCCCTCGAGCAGGCCTTTGGCGACTAGGCCATACGCCTTGGAGATGCCAGAGAGACTACCGGTGACAGAGAGGACGCGGTCGTGGACACCTTGGACGACCTTGCTGACACCGGCGCGCACGCCAGTCTCGTCGCGCAGGTCAGCGACGTTCTTGCCCGCCTTGCCTATGATGACTCCGGCCTCCTTGGACGAAACAATGGCTCGGAGGGTAAGCTGCGACTCTGCGTATTCCTCTTCGGTGCGCGGGACTACTTCGCCCTCGCCGTCCATGTTGAGGCGGTCCAGCTGGTCGGCGACGCGGCTAGCATCCTGACCGGGGCCGGGTTGGGGCTCTTCTGAGGACATGTTGTGGGGATGGCCTAGGGATGGGCTGCAGCTGCGGTCAGTGACGTAGTTTTGCGACGCGCGCACTATCGCGATACTTACAAGAGAAGAAGGTGGGTCGCGGAGACAGAGAGGAGAGCTGGGTGTGCTGCGGCGGAGGGGTAGGAGAGGACGAGTCGAATATGTCGAGGCTATGGTGCTACGTATCAGCAATTGTGTCAAAGGCTCGTGTTTGGGAGTGTGCATGGAAGCTACTCACTGGCGACTACGGAAGTGGCGGGGGAGGTGGTCGGTGCGGGATAGCGGACAGATAGGTAAGAGGGGGAGGGCGCAAGGGTAGGTGGGAGGGAGCGGAGAGGAGGATTGGGGGACGCGTGGGAGAAGAGAAGAGGCGTGTTGGCGGAACCTCTCTGGAGCGTGCAGATAGAGTGGAGGTAAGGTGACGGAGGGGAGACGAAGCCCTGGGTCTGCGCAATATTAGGGCGGCAGGATGTAGCTTTCCTTAGCGAGACGGACGAGCCTTGCCCTATTCACAGACATTGCAGGTGCTGGGAGGCACTGCAGGGGATTCGGCGCAATCGCTGTCCTCGTGCAGCAGGCGGCACTGAATCTACGGGAGCAATCACCATGCATGGCCTGCATGCCGGCGTGAATGCATCAAGCTGTTCGCAACTCTCGCGCGCCCCATCACCGAACACAGAACAGAATAGACCCCGCGTGCACGAGCCCTGAAAACGGCCAAGGCCCCGCGAGGATGCAGCTAAATCCAGCATTTTCAGGGTACTGGCTAGCCACGACTAGAATGTGAATGTATCGTGCCGCTGAATTCGATGATTGGCTGGGATGCGCGGGTTTTCTGCCTTCCATTGTTCGATTGAGACTAGGCCTTCACCACGCCTACGTATGCAGCGGCCTCCCAACACCACCCAATGCGCGCTCACACATCAACCAACGCCAGCTCGTGCTTTATCCACTCTCTCAAACGCCGTATCATAGCCTCACACCGCCTCAACACCACTCAATGCAGTCAACCTGCATGCGCCCTACTTTTGCGCCTCGAAAACGACCTTCTGCACCTTCATCTTGTCGAACAACTCGTAGCCCTCAATGGCGTCGCTCAACGGCATGACTTTATCAGCCATAAAGCTGTCACATGTTAGTCAGCGACTTACACTCCTGCATTATCATCAAACTCACCCAAGCTTATCCTGATGCCTCTTCAAGCTGTCAAGTGCTTCTTCAAAAACACTTCTCACAGGGCACCTTCCCATCTGAACTCTGACGTTCTTTCCATACGCCTCATTTCCAGACCAGGGTATCTCGCCGTTGTGGACTCCGACCGAGCTGATGACGCCCCAGGGTCGGATCAACTCGTATCCCATTCGAAGCGCAGGAGACAGACCGACCACTTCGATGACAATGTCTGCTCCACGGCCGTCTGTGAGCTCCTTGACGCGCTTATCGAGACCCTCGCGATCAGTCTGGAAGTTCCAGGGTTCCGCACCCAGTGACTTGGCAAGTTCGAGGCGCGAAGGTACTGAGTCAACAGCGAGAATGTGCTTTGGCTTGTAGTCGGTGATGTTGCAGAGCGCGCAGAGAGCTACAGGACCACAGCCAATAAGCACAACGACACTGTCCTTGATTTCCTCGGGAGTGGAATATTGGAAGCCGTTCTTGGCTGCAAACATGCCTGTTGGAAAGATGTCTGCCATAAGAACCAGTGCCTCGTCTTTGATGCCAGGTGGTGCTTTGACGGCTGTGGAGTCTGCGAGGGGAATCCGGACGTATTCTGCCTGGCCACCGTCTAGGGCAGGGCATCCAAAAAGCTGACATTTTACGCATCGCGAGGAGAAGCCGTGGGTGCAGTAAAAACACTCGCCACAGCATGTTGTGAAGGGAGAGACGACATGGTCGCCAACTTTCAAGGTCTTTACCGATGAGCCTACTTCGTGAACGTGACCGGTAAACTCATGGCCCATCACAAAGTCGGTAGCAGATGGCTGGTGACCTCGGAAGACGTGTAATTCGCTTGGACTATATGTCAGAGATGCTCTTGTTATAGGTGGTGACTTTCAGTACCTGCCGCATAATGCCGTCTGTGAAGAATAAGAATTAGTGGGAGGTGATGGTATTGATCAGCATACGTGCCTTTTCAACCTTTACGATAACATCTCCTGCATCTTGAATCTTCGGAATTGGTCTGTCTTCAATCACCACCTTCCCCGGTCCCTTGAATACGACTGCTTTCATGTCGTGCCTCTTGGTATGTTGTCAGAAGTAATTATCGTTATTGAAAGTCAAAAGAAAAGTTTGTGATCAAGAGATTCAGGAGGAAAGCAGATGTAATTCAAAAAACTGCATGCAACCAAGTGGAGCTTGTGGACTAAGTACAGGGCGCACGCCCTGACGACATCGGAGGCGCGAAATGCTCCTCGGTGATGATGTGGTGTGGTAGCTCCTACCCCGCCGAGGTTCGACTGCGGGGTAGAGAGGATGGGCAGTGAGAGCACATTGGCTGCAGGCGTGTATAGTAGCTTAGATAAAAATCGCTAAGATAGTACGCGAATCCTGAGAGGTTGATCAAGGAATGTTTCGACCCGCGTCTTGGGTTGCTGTCGGGTGCCCCGGTTCGCGACGGACTCGGACGAGCTTGAAGCTCGACGTAGCTCTCCGCCTCCTTCCGCACCAGTACTTCAGTATATCGATAGGAAATTGCAACAACGCTATAGAGTGCAACATACCATGTGAATCCACATGAACGCCTTGTCCAAAGCTCACCAAAATCCAAGCGTGTAAACACCATCCGGGTAAACAAGCCGTATCGCAGTATCCAATCCAAAACTCCCAGCAAATGCCCTTTCAATATGACGTCGATGCTGCGTAGTAGAGTTCCGTCTTCAGGTGACGGTGCACAGAAGCTCTTCCTCCAAGATGAACTTGCCCTCCTTGTACTTTTCACTGGCTTCATACGCCTTATCGTATTTCCAGCCGACGGTCTCCTTGCACTGGCGGCAGTGGATGTCGCGTACTATGTGACGTCCCGTGGTCATGTTGCGCTCGTTGGGGTCCGATTCGGTGATATTGACAACGGTATCGAAGAGGTACGCCTTGCCGTGTTGACCGCGGAAGTTCTCATGACGGTTAGCGATATGACTACATGTGGGAGTTCAATATGCGCTCACCCTGCTGAGTATGTCGTCGTGGTTGGAGAGATGCGTCTTGCAGTTCTTGCAGCCGTAGATGCGCGACGTGGTCGAGTTGAGGTAGATGTTGTACGTGAGGCCCATATTGATGGACAGGCGATCCGACGCGTGAATCGAGGGCTGCTGCTGCGTGGGAGTTGTGTCGAGACCGTGGCGGTAATCAGAGCGGTAGTCAGAGGTGGCCACTCGTTGTTGGTCGCCGCCGGTCATACGTGCTGTTGGCGCGGGTGCAAGGGGAGAAAGGTGGCGGGGAGCTAGCGGTGAAGCGTTTGAGGGGCCGATGGTTGTGGCTCCCGCTGTTGCGCCCAAGCGCGATTGCTATCTTGGGATGTGGAGTGAAGCTTTGGACCTGGAGGTGACGGCGCGGTCCCTGATGGCACGTGCGCGTCAGGTGGGCGGGATGACGAAGACGAGGGGCACAGCCGGGTAAACACTTGGGCAGGGTTACTATATGGTATGAGATCGGATGCTCTACGGATATCTATGTGGCATGTGCTGTGACTTTGTGGAACCAGGTAACGAGTTCCGTGGGAGCCTGACAGCTACTGAGCTAGTGCATGGTGAGATGGTGTGTAGTCAGCTGGTGACGCACGTGAGGGCACGCTGAGCTGAAATACCTAGGTAGTCCGGATACAGTCGTGTCAATGGGAACCGAGAACATGAACAGTCGACTAAATGGAAAGCATCCTCTGCATCAGATCGTTGACAGACACCCTGTGACAAACCACAGCCACGCCAATTTCCTGTTCGGGGGATCATTGTCGGTCTTGCTGCCTTTGAACGTCTCTCCGCAACGGCGAGTCATCGTATAAGCGCTTGTCTACCTCAAGTCATCTTCTCGGTGTTGTTGTTGCCATGGCCGAGTGTGTGCATGCACCTGCAAACAGAGAGCGTTTTACATTGGCACACAAAGAAGCAGGCTGGTGGTTGAGAGGCCAGCGCATCGACGATAAAAAGGACGATGAGCGTTGGTAGTGGACAGACTATCGCATCCCCTATGCAAGGTATTGTTGTCGTCTGTTGATACTGCGCGTCCCAGCCTCTCTCCGCGGATTGGGCGAGTCGGATGCCCCACTCGAGGTAGTCCTGGAGTCCCACAGCGTATAGTCGTGTGTCGAGAGTGAGAGAAAGGTAATTGCAGAGCGTTTACCGCTTCCGCGACGTGCCAACGGGCAGTAAGTCGGTGCCGCATGCAGGGCGATTGGCGTGGTAGGCGACTATCAGCCCAGCCTTCCGATGCACGTCCGCTGCGGCTTGACTCTGTGGCAGAAGTGCTAGCGGGCTTAACCTCGCTGATATGGAACATTCTAGCAACGTTTTTAGGACCAAAATCCCAGCTTAATTTTTATCCGCCCTGGATCTCAACCAACAGTCGCTGCAGCCAGACTAATTTTCTAGTGACACCGTCCAGGCCGCTATCCTTCCGCAGCTCGCCCCCATGGTTCTTCCCTCCTTCTTCGCATCCTCAAAGAAGTCGTCCAAGACCAGAGATATCCCCAACCTTGCCCCCCGACCCTCCCCCCAGGCTAACTCAGGCACCCCTCCTGCCTCGCCTGACAAGCACACCCACTCCAAGGTCAAGGACCGGGAACGCTCCTCCAGCCGCCGCTCGAGCTCCTACTCGTCCAAGCGCTCGTCCAAGTACGACCGCGACTCCCACCCGCTAAACCTCCCGCCCGAGGAGCGCCAGCGCCTGTCCTCGCAGATGTCCGCCATGGACCAGCCCACGCCCCAGCCAATGGACGTGGACCGGGACCACTCGTCCTCGCCCGCCCCCTCGAGCCCCGTCGCCGACACGCCCAAGACGAACGGCAACGGCGCCCCCGACGGGCCTGCTCCTCCACCACACCGCTACACCAAGAGCCCGCCGCCGCCCACTGCAAACTACGCCGCGACCCCCGAGGCTGCCACCCCGCCCGCTGAGCCCCCGACGATAGACGCCGAGGAGTACAAGGCGGCCGGCAACAAGTTCTTCAAGATCAAAGACTACCCGCGGGCCATCGAGGAATACTCAAAAGGTGCGTAGTGACACTGCCCATGCTCTAGCCGAAGCTTTGCACTACAGTACACCGGGAGAGCTTCTGGCTAACCAATCCGCAGCGATCGAAGCCGACCCCAAAAATGCCACCTACTACTCGAACCGGGCCGCCGCCTACATCTCCGCCAACAAGTTCTACGAGGCCATGGAGGACTGCAAGATGGCCGACGAGCTGGACCCCAACAACATGAAGATCCTCCTGCGGTTAGGCAGAGTATATACTAGCCTGGGCCGGCCGGACGAGGCTGTGCAGGTGTACGACTCCATCAATGCCACGGCCAAAGACAAGCAGCCCGCGTTGACAATGCAGAAACACCTCCGCATGGCCGAAGACACATCACGGAACGAGGGCTCGGGTTCCATGGTCATATACGCCCTCAACGAGGCTGAGAAGGGTCTTGGCGCTGGTGTAGACAAGCCCCGGAAGTGGCAGCTCATGCGGGGAGAGGCACATCTGCGCATGGGCAATGCCAATGCACTCGGAGAGGCACAAAACGTAGCCATGTCGCTACTACGGTACAACAACCAGGACCCTGACGCCCTCGTACTGCGCGGCCGCATCCTATACGCCCAGGGCGAGAACGACAAGGCTGTACAGCACTTTAGACAAGCACTGGCATGCGACCCCGACTTCAAGGCCGCTGTCAAGTACCTGCGAATGGTGCAAAAGCTGGACCGCATGAAGCAAGAGGGCAACGCTGCCTTTAAGTCCGGCAGGTACCAAGAAGCCATCGACACCTACACGCAGGCACTCGCAGTCGACCCCTCGAACAAGGGCACAAACTCCAAGATCCTACAGAACCGAGCCCTGTGCCATAGCCGGCAAAAGAGCTGGAAACAAGCCATTGCAGACTGCGAGAAGGCCCTCGAGCTCGATCCCAGCTACACAAAGGCACGGAAGACCCGGGCGAAGGCCCTGGGAGAGAACGGTAACTGGGAGGAGGCTGTACGTGATCTCAAGGCTATCCAGGAAGAGAACCCATCGGAGCCTGGCATTGCTAAAGAAATCCGCGATGCCGAGATGGAGCTTAAGAAGAGCAAGAGGAAGGACTACTACAAGATTCTCGGTATCGAGAAGGACGCCACAGAGACACAGATCAAGAAGGCATACCGCAAGCTGGCCATTGTCCACCACCCCGACAAGAACCCAGACGACGCGGATGCTGCGGACAGGTTCAAGGAGATTCAAGAAGCACATGAGACTCTGAGCGACCCACAAAAGCGCGAGAGATACGACTCCGGCGCTGATCTTGTCGATCCCAACGACATGTTCGGCGGCGGAGGCATGGGAGGAGGCATGGGTGGCATGGGTGGCGGCATTGACCCAGAGATCCGTAAGTATTCTCATGTCTATGAAAGAAAGTTCACGACTAACGCAATTCACAGTCATGCAAATGTTCGGCGGCATGGGCGGAGGTATGGGAGGCGGCCGCGGAGGGGGAGGTGGTTTCCACTTCAGCTCCGGCGGCGGTGGAAGTCCGTTTGGCGGCATGGGTGGCATGCCCAGCGGTGGCCGGAGAGGAGGACCGCCCGGTGGTTTCCCCTTCTAAACGCCCCGATCATACCCACGTAACGACAACCACCACCACGCTCCGTTTTAAACACATCATCCGACCTTTGATTCGTGTGTATAGCCTTGGCAGAACATTTCCGACAGATTTCATTCATGGCGTTGGATACAGGAGATGCGCGAGCAGTAGATGCATAGACGGTCGTTTGGATCGCTCTCCTGTATTTGGGTGCGAAGCATTGATTTTCACATTGGCCTTCGAGGGATTTGAGCATTGCCTGGCGTCTCTCATTATTATCTTATGCATGAGATCTGCTTGAGGAAATGAATGCCGCTTGTGACTTATTGGAAGAAGTAGTGTGAAACGAAATTTCAAAAGTTAACGATGAAGAAGGGAACGTCTTTGCATATGTTATATGTATTGGTGATTGTTCTTCAGAGATTGTGATAGTGTCACGAGAGCATACTTGTATGCCGAACGCATCAAGACCTCCATTCCCAGGTACCTCATCCCCCAAAATGCTCCTCAACATGATGCGCAACCGCCGCCTCATCCCCCTCGAATTCTCCACAAACCGGACACGTCGCCACCTCCACCCCACCTCCACCCTGGTGTCTCCGATCCGCCTCTTCCAACGCAGCAAAAAGCCCCATGTCAGCCGGCTGTCTCCGAGTCCTGCCTTCATCATAAAGATACTCGTCATCATCCCTAATATCTCTCTCCACCCTGCCTCCAACCATCCTCCCACCTGCTCTTCCCATACCTCCGCCACCCTCACCATCCCTACCCAGCCCCGCCCCAGCGCCCCCAACAACAGCCTCACCCTGCTGTCCCTCACTCTCACTAACAAGCTTCTGCACCCTCCCCACCCTTCCATCTCGTAACCTCACTTTCACACCTCGCGGATGATCACCCCGCGTTAGCAGGTCGGCGACGATACCGCGGACTTGGTGTCCGGTGGGTTGATCCTGTTTGAGAATGATTGAGACGCTTGTTCCGGGGTGGATATATGCGAATGAGGGGACAGGGGGTTCGTCGGGGTCCGGTCTGAAGTTGGGTCTGCCGCGACCGCGGCCTTGTCCTCTGCCCCTGGATGCTCCTCGTCCTCGTCCTCGGTCTGAGATGGGGTTGGAGTCGCCGCGGCCGCAACCGCGGCCCGTGTGGGTACCTCTTGATGGTTCTGAAGAAGGCGGTTGCCGGTTTGGACGACCGCGTCTGGAGGGCGGTTGTTGCATAATGTGTATAGGTCGGGTTTGTTGGCGCAGAAAGAAAAACAGCGTTTAAAACCCGTCTTAGCGAGCCCTTTGTTCCTCCAATGAACTTTTCAATCTCTTTCTCAGGATGTGTTCGAATAGTCGTTGTGTTCGCCTTCCCAAAATCGCAAAAGACGACTCAAGATCAAATGCTGGTGGAAATGATCGTAGCTTAAATTGGCACAGAGCTGATCTGAAACAGGAAAAAGAGTTGGCGTGAAAGCCGGCATTTGTCGGAATAACTATTATCCCTGTAAAATGAAATGTTGATGTTGAGATCAAACGGGATGAGGATGTTGTAGGATATTGGTGTTAGGGCGGTTTGCACAGTATTTTAGTGCGCATTACGTCATTCGCTCGCTCCCTTCACATTATGTAGCAATGCCTATGTACCACACTCCAGGTACCACACTCCAGACCGTGAGACACACAGGGATGTAGGCAATAGCCAAGCTCGTTTGGAGATTTTTCTATGTACATGTACGTCTGGTTAGAGTAGCGCATCGTTATCCTTGCGATATCAGCGTCTTTCATACAAACCACACACATCACACCGTACACCTCCCGCCTCCATCGTCATCATGCCTTCCGCGAGCAGTACTCGTTATGTAGTCATCATAGACCCGTATATCCGCCCCGTCCATCCCGTCATAACATCAGTTGTAGGTGACGTTGACCCTACGTTTGGAATCAACGTGGAGGAATTCGTCCCGAATCCACCCAGACCCATCTCCCCGACCGCGCTTCATGCTCTCATGCGCACGATGATGATTGAGAATGTGTTGTCTAGCGCTGTTGTACTCCACCACGAACTCGGCATCCTCCTCCCAATCTCGGAAGAACTCTTCGGCTACTGAAGCTTCGTCCCACTGACGGGTCTCGTTCGTGTCTTGGACGATGTTGTTAAGATTATTGTGACCGCAGGTGTAGACTCGGGCATCTCTATATGCCAGGTCGAGGTGAGCGATATAGTAGGCTATGTCGCGCTTCAACCTAGGTACTTGGTCCTTTTTGCCTTTCACCTCTTTACTCAGCTTGGTGACCTCGGTCTTCAAGCGGTCGATCTCGGGCGCACGTCCGGCATTGATTGTGTTACGGACTGCCAAGATCTGAGTGTGCTCATCACGGTGCCTGTAGACATGTTAGCGACATGTTCGGTAAAGGGAAACTCGATTAGCAGCTCTTGGGGAGGCTTGGAGGAATTCGCAGCAGTTTCAGGATTCCTAGGAGCGCTGGCAACACACTGAATGTCTCCAGGGTCTATCGAGAGTCGGGAAGGGGGATATTGAAAGACATACCAATCTCGCGATGACTCGGCCGCGGCAAGCTTGGCTTGAACGTCGTCTAGCTCTCTCTTCTGACCGTCGATCTGTGCCTTCAGGCGCTCTGCATCGGTTGTGCTCATTTGCACCCTCTGAGCATATTGTCGATTCTGACTTGAGTGCTGGGCGAGCTGGGTTCGCAGATCGTCGACCTCCGCTTGGCTCATGGCGGCCTTGTTTGAGCGAATGTTGGCTTCGGACAATTCGCTCTCAAGAGACCGCACTTTGCGCTCGAGTCGACTGTTGTGGTCCTGGGACGAACGCAGCCGGGCGTGAGTGTTCTCCGCATCCTGTACCGCAACGGTCACATCATGTCGCGTGGCTTTCAACTCCGAATCTTTCTCTGCGGCAGAATTCTCGAGTGCCTCAACTTTCGCGCGAAGTGCCTCTGCTTCGGAGGCCGCGGCGACGTTGAGCGCATTCGTCTGCTGTAGATTCCTGTTTGAAGCTCTGACCATGGCGACTGCATGTTGTGAGCGCTGAAGCTTGCGCTCTAGATCGCTGTTCTTGCGGTCTGCAACAACCAGCTGTAGTCTCAGTTCGAAGAGATCTTTCTCATCGTCGCTGTCGGAGCCGTTGTTTACCGAGGTAACCGAGCTGTTGGAGAGGGTTGTGGGCTGCTGCTGCCGTGCTGGATGGCCGCCGGAATCGTCGTTCTCGAAAGCCGCGGAAGCCATGATTTTTTTTTGAATATGGTCACCTCGTGTGTGCGTTGTGGCGATGGGGTGCGAGCTTGGGTCGTACCTACCTGATATGCACAGCAGGGTCCATGCTTGGCGGAGCGTCCTCGACAGGGAGGAAGCCACGCCAGGCGCAGATATGAGCGATGAGCAGTGAACTACGGAAGAGAAAGTGGAAAATCAAAATGACAACGGCTGGCCTCTATAAGAGGTTAACCTGTGAGGTTCGCAACAAGCTTTGACGCTTTCCAAGCTACGCGACAGGATGATGGCCGTTTGCTCACACCGTCTATTCGCGCTGGTGAGAGAGCCCAGCCCTTTCAAGCAAGCAACTAGGGTATTTCTTGAAGTGTGAGCTGCAGAAATGTGATCATTGTACAGAGATTTATAAACAAGTGAGAAATACAAAGGAAATGAACAGAAAGGGTTGACACATCCTTGTGTTGGCAGGCGGCCAATTCTCACTCATTACCTGCTAGTGTTGCGTCCCCATTAGCGGCGATGTTGATACCGTTTGACCCGCCGATTGACTTGCTGCCGTCGGAGCCCTGCGTGATGCCCAGGTTTCCACCGAGGTTCGCCGCGGCACCGTCCTCGCCGAGGGTGATACCAGATTCCTCAGAGAACTTCTCGGACTCTTCAGTAGCCTTGACGCCGTTTGACTTCTCACCCTCGGCCTCTTGAGCTTCCTGTTCAGATTCTTTCCTTGCTGCGTCTCCTTCGGCGCGTCCGGGCTGGTTCTCCGTACCAGCGCCAGCGCCAGCGCCAGCCGCACCCCCTTCTGACTCTTGCTCGGCGGCGACAGCAGGCTTTTCACCGGCGGTGGCGGACTTCTCGCCCTCTGCTGCTGAAGACTTGGGCTCCTCTGCGGCTGCCGCAGTACCATTGCCCTGCTGATTTCCGCCGAGCTTGAGACCGTTGCCAGTGATACCACCGCCTGGGCCGCCTAGAGTGAGGCCTCCGATCGTGAGACCACCACCTCCGCCACCTTGCTTTTGAGCCTCGCGGCGGCGACTTCCTCCTTGGGTCAACGAGTCCAAGCTCTGAAAGTCTGCGTCACGTCTGACAGGGTGTGCGCGATACGAGCGAGAGGCAAGGTTTGCTTTGGTCTAGCATGAGTGTCAGCATATGCAGTGAGTGACAGGCTTTAACAAGAGAGATAACGTGTTGAGTAGCCAAGGTGGTGCATCGGATCAACATACTGCCCATAGCGTGCGAGGGGGAACGACGAATGCATCGACGCATGATACGGCCAGTAGACCGAGAGTCAATTCCAGAGAGAGCTTCATATCGAGAGAGTTTGTTAATTAGCGGATCGAAAGAAGACGTAGACGAGAAACAGCTGTCCGGCAGCAAGATGAACAGATGACTGTGAAGTAAAGCGATGGTACCAGTGAGCTCATCAGGTGCACCTCCTGAGGCCTACTGCGAATAAATGCTTCTGAATCCCATGAGTCTCAGTGACATCTGCTTCCCTCAGCCACCCGTCGTTGGCATTGCCGGAATTACATGATGGAACGCTTTCACAACGTTTACAGGCCAGCTTGGCGATCGAGAGTGGTCGGAACAGTGTGTCAAACGCCAGTGCGCGGCGGGGCCGACCGCTCGCTAGGATGCTGGGGTTCTTCATGTCGCACAAGCGTCGCAGCTCCCGTCAGGGCCATGATCTTCGACTCTTCGGAATTTTCGGCCTCAGATGAAGCCGTCTTTGAAAGGCCAGATAAGAGCTATCCCCATGGTTAAGCATTCCAAGTGCTGTCTTGTGTGTAGTGCCATGAAAGCCAAGACCGGATTTGAATGGGATCCTGACATTTGTGTACGGTGTGTTGACTGCTGGGTTTCGAATCAGAACAGAAACTAGTTGTCGTACGAGTTTCTCGGTTGTCAGAGAGCCTCGCGGTATTGCTGCGTGCATCGCGGGATCCCGAGGTCTGTCTAGCAAAGCAAGACCACGTGTGGACGGACATGATCAGTAGCTCCACATATCCATCTTGTGACTGCCTCTATAACACGGATGAACGCATGTTATTCGCGAAAAGCATGAAGCGAAGTGAGGAGAATGTGCCCGGAAGGAGATGGGATGAGATGCGTTTGGTGAGAGGACAATGACGATGACGACTGGCGGCCACGCGAGATTGACGCGCTAATGTCGATGACTAATCCCGCGCAACACGCGCCTCACGTCACGATGACTCGTCATTCTTTTCAGTTGATTCATTCCGACTACTCGTTCAATATTCAACACATATCTGCGTCGCGGACTTGGGCTTGGAGCCATTTCCTGTTCGGACGCGACGATATGCAAAACATTATCGCCTTTCAGACGTATCCTCATACTATGGCCTGATGGGGCACAGCGCTATATTACCCATTCAATCCAACAAGTTCACTGACGTGAAGCCAGCATCCCAGATCGCATTAATGTCCTCCGTCCGTCCAACGAATACGTATACGTCCTACCTGAATCCAAACACCACCGGTCCTGCGCACCCTTATCCGTTCAACAAACGCTCTCCTTCATTTTTGTACAACTTGAACGCCTCGTGTAGTGAATCCGCAGTCTCACCAGGAAAGAGATGCAAAAAGAAAGGGTAGCCCTTCTTGCGCTTTACTTTCCACATGAAGAGCTCTCGCTTGGCTTCGTCGTTCCAGTCGGTGAACACGAATTCACCATTGCTGCTAGGTGATGGGGCTTTCACGGTCTTTCGAGGAGCTACAGGTGTACCTCGCAAGGCACCATCACGGCTACCAGGAACTGGAGTTGACAAGGCTGCGGAATAATGATTTAGCGGGAAGACTACCAAGGTGTTTTGAGTCATCTTACTGCCTGGCTCACGCTGCTGAAGATCTACTGGAGCTTGCGGCTGTCCAATGGAGCCAAAGACAACAGGACCATGTAGGCCCCTCGGTGCTTGGCTTTGCCTAGGGTTTTGTGGAGCTGCAGCTGCAGTTGAAGATCCAGAGGCATGCGGATTGGCTCTGGCTGTCTTTGTATCAGGCCGAGTACGACGGGAAACCACGAAGGCCTCGCCGGTCCATACCCTGTCGTCATCCACGTACCGCCAAGCCTGAGCCGGGTCTTCCCATGGGGGTGGATTTGCCGCTGGGGCTACGCATGAAAATTAGATTGAAGACTACAGTATCGTTATAATGGCTTACGTCGAGTGTGTAGGCGACTGGCTGGTCCATGTGGCTGCATGAATGAAGGTGCAAAGTCCCCGTCGTTGTTGGGGAATAGAGATTCGTCCAGGTATTTCAGGGGGCGATATCCAGCACCACCAGAAGGTTCTTCGTGATTGGGGCTGTCGGAGTTCGAGTTATTGGCCATGATAGTGTATATGATGATTATTCGTTATAAGTTTGACGTTTCAGAGGGAAGACGATGGTAAAAAGGAGAACTTATAAACACTGAAGGTATGGGAAGTAAGGCAGAACCGACCGTGAGCACGACATTCTTCTGTGTGTATATACCAGGTGAAGGCAGGAGAAGTTGAGTCAAACATCCCTGAGCTATTCAAAGACGACATGACCTTATTGTTCCTCGACTCACGCGTGTATACTCCTTCTTTATGCAACAATACGAGTACGTTTGCTTGTTCCGCACGTAGATGGAAGTTGATCACTTGTCCTTTAAGCAAGCTAACTATTGTGTAGGCTATGCTAAACGCTGGTAACCTTGGAATGAAGTCACATTCAAGGTCGATATCATGGCTAAGGAATCAAGAGCTCGGCAGCCTACCGACCAAAGGCGAAGAATTCATGAAACATTGCAACCCGATTAGCTTGTTTGTACAGAATACCACAAATGTGTCATCAAACCCAGCCTTCCGCTACGTCTTTCACGAGTGGGCCAAACTCTCGTATCACTCACTGATACCGACCGAAATATGGACCGACTGGAAGTACCGAGGGCGCCTCGTTCCTCTGACTAGCCATTATAGGACCTTGGTGACCTGGGGAGACAGGAGATATGTGGTTCGTCGACATCACACCTGGCTGTGACGCGTTCCTTAGGGCGTTATAATTATAGCCTGAGCCCCACGGCAGTGGATAGTTCTGAGTTTGGTAGTGTGCTGCTACCGGGAAGTTATAGTGTTGGCCAACAGGCTCGCCGGATCGAAAACCTGGGGCAGAGTACCGCGGAGGACCAATATGTACGTTTTGATCTGAATACGGCCCATGGACTTGACTGTAAGTTGCCCGGGCGGGTGTCGCATACTTGACTGAGAAGTTCTGTCAGCGTGGAACTATATTGGACTCTCTGTAACACTGACCTCGTTCCATACTCAGAGCGCCGCCGAATGCTCGTCGAAATGTTATGATAATCTCGACCAAAGCCTTGCTGTCAATGTGGTACGACAGCCGTTGAAAGCTCATTTGCAGCGCAAGCATTGTATTACCTGCGGCCGCGGGCAGCAGATCGAACGCGCCATTGAGAGCCGTCTTCAGCGCGTTCTCATTGATGTTCAGAGTGGCTGCGAGCGCGGCCAGAGCAGATTGCGCTTCTGGGCTGCCCTCGTTCGTGTGGACGGCGACTACTGACTCCATGTGGGCGACTTGAAGGAAGTGGAGAGAGTTGATTGACCATTGAGAGAGCCATAAGTGACATGCGGTGAGCGGAACTAGGCAACTACAGTGAAATGTATTTGTGGAGGAGTTTCACGGTGAATGTCGTCTTGCCTAGTTTACTTCCAAAATTCGACAACTTGACTGAGATCCATCCGATAGACGGAATGTGTACGTAAATCACCTTCAGACTGCCATGGTTCGATACATTCTAACTCAGCGTGTCCCTGTGCCTGCGAGTAGTTGGCTACTGCACGGCCATGTCACTAACCCATCGAGCTTCATTGGGCGTTGATGATACTTGAGACCCCTCGATGCTTGCATCACTGTCCAACTAGATGTAGCGATGGTGCGTTTTAATGAACATAATGGAGTGTCGCGTCATCAGGCTCGTGATGTGCTGTCGCTAATTGTACACATTCCAAGGTTGTGTCAAAGTCCCTATGGACTCGGGCCTGGACGCCTTAGGCAAAAAAAAAAACTGAACAGGTTTGCAGACTACGGTAAATTAAAATGTGTAAGGTAGGTAGCTCAACGTTGATGTAGGCTCCAGGGTGTTGAGGTTTTTTCTAGGTTGACGTGTGGAGGCAGGCGGTGGCAGGCCGCATAGGGCTAGGGTGTCGCGCCACAGTAGTGGCTGAGCCGCCAAAACCAAATAACGTCATTGTTCGCGAGTTTCGCTTCGTGGGAGCAGCTGCCCACTTCCTGCGATCTAGCCAACAAACCTAGTTCTTCTCGCATACGATCCTGCTTTATGGTCGACCCAGTTTCCGCCCATTGAATTGCCGCTTCCTTACCCTCCAGCTCAACAGAGCCCATCCCCCGTCCACAACAACCATGGCAACGCGTCGAAAAGCCGACACCGACATCAGCAATGGGGTTCCCATCACAACCGGCATGCCCAGCGGTACCGTTCGCTCTCCGTCCGCGCGGCGGTCGCCCTTCCTCCCCACCCGCCTCGAAGCGCAGCTCATCGCCATCTACCCATTGACGCTCCTCATGGGTAGCGTGTTCAGCATAATATCGCCCTCAAACCGCAGTGCGCCCTACTCCGCCGTCCTCCAGTCCCACCCCGCCGAATTCGCGCCCTCGTACTTTGCGCAGAAGAAGAACATCTTCAACGTATACTTTGTCAAGCAAGGCTGGTTCTGGACGACACTCGCGTTCGCCGTCTTCGTCACCTTTCACCCTGGATTCGGTCAGGGTGCCAGCGCGAGACGCATCCGAGCGGTGATGCGATATGGCGTCGTGACAACATGGTGGTGCTTCATGACGCAGTGGTGCTTTGGGCCGCCGCTGATTGACCGCGGGTTCAGGTTCACGGGAGGCCAGTGCGAAATCATCAGGGATCCGGAGGCGAGGGAAGAAATGAGCACCACGAGAGAGTACATTACCGCGGCGACGTGCAAGGCAGTTGGTGGAACATGGAAGGGCGGACACGATATTTCCGGACACGTCTTCTTGCTCATACTTGGCTCGTCACTCCTGTGGCTAGAGTTTCTGCCTGCGTTGACGCGTGTAGAGGGACTGAGGGATGGAAGGCTCATCACCTTGCCCGATGGCAAAGTTGCGAGCGTGGCAGTGGAGAAAGACCTCGTCAAGTCTGAGGGCGAGGCTACTGCGCGTGGCGTCAAGTTCGCGCTTGGTGTCGCCGCGCTGATGTGGTGGATGCTCCTCATGACGGCCGCCTACTTTCACACCTGGTTTGAGAAGTTCACGGGCCTTTTGGTCGCCTTTGCAGCGCTGTGGACTGTTTACTTCCTTCCAAGAGGCGTCCCACAGGTCAGAGCGTGGTTGGGCATGCCTGGAGTATGAGAGCCCTAGCTACGGATCAGGCCATGGGTGATGGCTCTCATCTTGCGGAAGACATAGCAGAGATAGATCGCAAGACGGGTTTGTGAGTTGACGAGTCAAGCGTTTGAGCAAAAGCTTATCCAGCGTCAGTATAGTTTAATAACATGCATCACGACTTTGGCCCTTTTACAGCACTGACAGCTGGGCGCTCTAGCCTCGAGCATGGGACATCATGACTTCATAGCGCTCAGGTGATGTCGAAAGTAGGTTATTCTGACATTTTCGCCAACAATATACATCCCGAGATTTGCACCCGTGCCATGTTTTCTAGCAGTTGGCACCTCATTCAAGGAAAAATTGGATACCCTGGAGCCTACGTTGACGTTGGCCGTATCCTTTGCAGCTTTCCATGTTAATGTAGACTCTAGGGTGTCCAGTTTTTTCCTTGAACGAGGTGCTGGCGCTACTTGAACGGCTTTTCTACGGCAGCCATATCGTTTTCCTGTAGTTTTCCGCTCAACGTTGTGCTAGTGTACCTGATGAGCGATGGCAGCTGCAGCCTTCTATGGGACCGTTGACGACATCAACCGCGGCTAAACGTCGCACCGACCCAGAGTAGCACCGTCCCTTCTCCATCCGGCATCCTATCCGCCAACTTCCGCAGCTGGCCCAATCACTGCAATTTACGCAGAGTTCCATGGCAGAAGAGCTTGTCTGTCGACCCCGGACCCTCCCCACTTCCCCTCACGATGATCAGTTCACTGCATCCCCGATGTAAGCTAGGCATGCGACCAGGGTGGTTGGGAGGTGTACTTAAGCAGGTACCTTGACGACTTTTCGTGATGCATTGCTCACCTGCAAGATCTAGCAATGATTGGTATCAAGGGTCTCGCGTTGAGCCTTTTGGCCAGCGCTACCGTGGCGCAAGATGGTAAGACATGGCTATAGGTTACAATAGAGGCAGTCGCTGATTCGAGGCAGCTATTCAGGCATCTGGCACAAACTTCACACTTACCGCCGACGGCATGTCATACCTGTTCCACGTTGATACCGAGTCTGGCGACCTCATCTCAGATCACTTTGGAGGACCAACCGACGACTTCACACCACCAGCCTACATCCTACCATCCGGATGGGTAGCTGGCGAGATAGGCAACGAGCGTCGCGAGTTTCCCGATATTGGCCGCGGTGACTTCCGTTTACCAGCTATCCATATCGAACACGCCGATGGCGACACGATATCCGCTTTCCGCTACCAATCCCACGACATTGTACAGGGAAAGCCTTCTCTGCCAGGACTACCTGCGACTTATGGAGAAGCTGGCGATGTCACGACGGTAACCGTGCACATGTACGACAACGTGTCGGACGTTTCCGCTGCATTGATGTACTCAATCTTCCCCAAGTACAACGCTATTGCACGTAGCTTCAGCATTGCGAACAACGGTACTGCTGATATCGTCATCGAGAGAGCGTCGAGCTTTAGCACCGACTTCCCCAATCTCGACCTCGAGATGATTGAGCCCCACGGTGATTGGTCGCATGAGTTCCAGACCGTGAGGAGGAAGATCGATTATGGCGAGACTTCGTGAGTTGATATGCCTAGGCGTTGCTGTATAAATACTGACATCTATCAGATTCCGGAGTACCGCAGGATACGCATCTCATCTTCACAACCCTTTCTTCGCGTTGGTTTCGCCAACCACCACCGAGTCTAACGGAGAGGCTTGGGGCATCAGTTTAGTGTGGACTGGTAGCTTTGAAGCTACAGCACAGCGCTTCTCCAACGGCTATGTGCGCGTTCTCATGGGCCTTAACCCGCTTCATTCCAGTATTCGCGTGGCACCAGGGGAGATGTTCCAGTCTCCCGAAGCTGTCGGTGTGTACTCCTCTCAGGGTGTTGGTGGCGTGTCGCGCTCGTTCCATGATCTCTATCGCAATCACCTCTCTCGACACAAGTTCACGGACCAAACCCGCCCCATTCTGCTCAACTCGTGGGAGGGGCTGAGTTTCGACATCAACGAAACGTCTCTGGTCAGCCTGGCCGGCGAGGCGGAAGAGCTTGGAATTGAACTGTTCGTAATGGACGATGGCTGGTTTGGTGTCGAATACCCACGCAACAATGATACTATGGGTCTCGGAGACTGGACACCCAACCCAGCAAAGTTCCCCGATGGTCTAGGTCCGTACGTGGAGCAAGTCAATAACTTTACAGTGTTGAATGCGTCGTCCACGCCTTTACAATTTGGTATTTGGGTAGAACCAGAGATGGTAAACCCCAATTCCACCTTGTACCATGAGCACCCCGACTGGGTCCTGCATGCTGGAAAGCACCAAAGGACGTTGACACGAAACCAGTTGGTTCTGAACGTAGGGTTGCCGGAAGTCCAGGACTACATCATCAGCTCGATTTCTCGTGTACTCGATTCCGCCAACGTCCAATACGTCAAATGGGACAACAACCGTGGCATGCATGAGCTTGCCCGCCCATCTGATGACTACACTTATATCCTCGGCCTATACCGCGTTATCGACAATCTCACGACCAGCTATCCTGATGTACTCTGGGAGGGTTGTGCATCAGGTGGAGGCCGATTTGACCCTGGTCTTCTACACTACTGGCCCCAGCACTGGACCAGTGATAACACCGATGCTTCAAACCGTCTCACGATCCAAATGGGCACATCCCTGGTCTACCCGCCCTCCGCAATGGGTTGCCACATATCTGCGGTTCCCAACGGTCTCACCCATCGCAACATCAGCATCGAATACCGCGGTCACGTTGCTATGATGTGCGGCTCCTTCGGTCTCGAACTCAACCCATCCGAACTCTCCCCAGAGGAAGCTTCCGCCGTGCCTTCCATCATGGCCCAGGCCAAGGCGGTGAACCCCGTTGTCATCTCCGGTGATTTCTACCGCCTTGCGCATCCCGACAGCAGCAACTGGCCTGGTGTGCAATTCGTCAGTGCAGAAGGAAACCAGAGCATAGTCTTTGCGTTCCAGCAACAGTACATGATCAAGCCAGCAGCACCTCCGCTCAAACTACAGGGCTTGGATCCTAAGGCGAGATATAGCAACGACCTGGACAATGCCACCTATAGCGGGGCTACGTACATGAACGGCGGGCTTAACATCGCGTGGCCAATGGGCGACTACCAGAGTAAGCTCATTTGGCTGAACAAGGTCTAAATACGTCAGTATGATAGTACTCTAATCGAATCACTATTTTGAATGCGGCAACGCGGTACACTTTGAAAATGTGGGTGCTTGTTCAATCCTACGAAATACTGTTCATTGCTCACACTTGTTCTCGCCTGGCGTTACCACGCTGATTGGCATGTCTTGGTTACGAATGTACCGTCAGTGGTAACGAAAACAGAAGCTTCACCAACCTAAGCTAAGACTACTACGATGAACCTAATTCTGGGTCTAAAGCTCCGCCAGTGGCCGAGGGCATACAGCCTTCCATCCGTTCTGCGCGATAGCCCGAACCTTGTGGTCTTCCACGGCATCCAATAGCTTCGCACATTTGCCCCCGGCAAGAACGGCCAGATATTGGTCTTCTATCTCCCTGCTGACCAGATGGTACCGACACAGGTAAGCGACGTAGTTGGCTAAAGCGTCCACGATAGGATCTTCTACCGTTTCCTTGCGCGTTGTCTCAGCCACCAGGACCAATTCCTCTGCCTCCACGGGACGGTAGATGAGGCCGCATATGTAACCTTTGATGATCTGAGACGTATATTGTGTCATACCCAGCACCTGCGCAGCAAGACGCAACTCTAAACCCTTCTTGACTTCCTTGGGTATGGGGATATCAGTGTACTGCTGGTCAGTACAGATTGTCCGCAACCACTTTGCGATCGTCCGCATGGAATCGAGAGAGACGTCCTTGTGGCAGAATTTGACCCAGGTATCATCTGGGTTAGCCTCTAAGTGCTGGCGGAAAGCCGATGAAGCAGCGAAGAAGGCTAGCTTGGGCATGTTGACGTTCACTTTGTTGCCCTTGGGGTCTAAAACCTCCACTTTGATGGTAATGTTAGGGGCTAGCTCCTTGCGCGCGGAAGCTGACCAGTTGCGGAGGTGGTTGCCGCCGTTTAGGTTTGCCATGTCTGTTAAGACTTTGTTGACTTGGCCGGCGGGCGAAAGGGTATTGACGTAGGCCTTTGTGTTGGGACCGTTACGGCGACGGAAGTTATTGCTTTTCGTAGGGCGGCTGCCCTTGGACTGTTCTGAAGTAGTAGACATCGCGGTGGCTTGTATCGAATGAGCTCTTGTCAAATCGGATGTTGAAGCTTGATGTTGCTGAAGTTGCAAGTGGTGTTCATACGAAAGAGAGCAAGCGAAAAGGGTTAAATAATCGTCTAGACCACTTGTAAACCTACAACAGCGTCCTATCGCTGCCAGTGACTCGTACCTGGAAAGAGTGTGAAACTATCAGATGTGAGTGAATGAAATCTAGTACTCTGGCAGAGATCATCAGTAGGTAGAGCGGGCTGAATCAACCCAGATCACTATGCGCATAAGGGAGTCTGGGTTCTGATGGTGAATGATGATGTAGAGACCAACGATCTGGTCCTCGATGGCGCTGGGCGGTCTCATCTGCGTAGTAGACTCGTTACCATGGAGACGAGACTCTGCATTCCAGCTCTCACTGTTGTTTACTGCATCACTCGACATGGAGATGATGCCTGCGTGGACGAGATTGGTGTTCATGGAAGCTACCGCGGCTACAATGCGCGATGGCCATCGCATCCAGAGGTACTCAGCTTCGCTCGCAAATACGATTAACACAGCGGCACGGTCTTCTGTTCTGGCCACACGCGTGGACCATTCTTAACTAGAGCTTATGAGCTGTCTCATGAATGAGCCGGATGAAACTCGTCGGTCTTTGTGCCCAGCAAAAGACTTACGCGTGAAGATCAGAAGTTTTCAAACGGAACCGATCGAAAGCCATATATCGATGCGTGGCTGATGGTACGGGTAACGAAAGTTCTCAGAGAAGTGCGCTTGATGACAATTAAGGATAGGGGAGATGAGACGCCCAGTGGTGTTTAAGCGGGGCCCGGTATGTGACCTCGCCCGGTCGGAAACGCGTGCGCACGTGCTCTCGATGACGTGCCTAGCTCGACTTTCCAGCCCTCACGAAAACGTGGCGCGGCCACTTTCCGCCCATCTACCGAGCGGCGCTCTTTCACCACCAATCCTTCCATTCACGTCGTGCGAGCGTATCTTTAACTCGGAATCCTGCAACACGCGGTAAACCTGGGCTCATAGTTATTCACATCGCATTTTCAACCCGCCCGACCTGATCAGAGCGCTGCTTGCCAGGCTTGTCACGTAGCGCGACGTGAACAACATCAGAAACCCTTTGCCGGAGAACGCATTCGAGGTCTGTGTCTTCAAGCTCATTCAACCTTAACAACAACACCATCCGATTGCGCGCGATGTCAAGCAACGTTCACCTGACGCGAGCGGTATAACGTTGCCGTTGCTCTACGGCTACAAGGATATACGCAGTTTTAGGCCTCTGTCTCATTTCCTTTAGCAGGGTGACATCTCCCCCGCGGGGCCAGCCCCGACAATTCTTGCAGCCCGCCACGTTCCCTACCGCGTTTCGGAAACAAGGCTGCGTTTTAGTCTCTTCATTTGGGTCACGGGGACACGTTTCTGGATGTCTGTGCCCTGCCGAGTTGACGTAGATCGCGTTTGCGACCAGTGAGGATTATTGCCTAACCAGGAACCAGGATGCAGGGTAGTGAATTGAGAGGTGCAGAGTTTCTTGGCGGCTGGTTGACTGTAAAATGAGGCAGACTACTTGTGGCGTCAGCTCCAGGAAGAGTGATCTTACGTCCCTTGAAGAGGAGACTGCGCGCCGTTCTCTGCTCGTGACTGGCGTTCGGCGACCTCGTAACTGAAGCCAACCACACCACAGGACAATATCGCACCCAATATCGACAATGGCTTCCCAAATATCCGATCGGGTGGAAGGTATGACCACGAACCATACGCTGTCTCACAAGACCTCTCTTATCGTCATTGTCTTCCTCGCCCTCGCCGTCTCCCATACCCTCGAGGTCTTCGTCAAGATCTTCCGCCTCTTTCGCACCTATCACGGCGTGTACTTTTACACGCTCATCGCAGCCTCGGTCGGTATCGCCATACATGCCTTTGGGTACTTCATCCGCAACTATGGGATATCCGACTCGGCCCCGCTGGAGATCGCCTTGGCGTGTGGCGGGGGTATGCTCATGATCACTGGCCAATCCATCGTACTCTGGTCACGACTACACCTCATCAGTTCTGGAAAGAGAGATTGGTGGTTACTCTGCATGATTATAGCAGCCTGCATAATCGTGCAAGGAGGGGCGACTGCGCTTTTTGCTGGCTCGAATTCACCGAATCCTAAGAGGTGGCTACAGATCTACGAGAAGTGGGAGATCTTCCAGGTTACCTGGTTCGTCTTCCAAGAGTGCCTCATAAGCGGTCTCTATATCTATCGCACCTTCGCCCTCATGCGCAGCTCGGCCGCCTTCCGAGGCCCATGCGCGAAGCGGGTCTTCAACCATCTCATCCTCGTCAACACGGTGGTCATCTTGCTCGACGTCACGATCCTGGTCCTACAGTACATAGGCCTGTACGAAATCCAAACCAGCTGGAAGACACTCGCATACGCCATCAAGCTCAAGCTCGAATTCGAGGTCCTCAATCAACTTATCGCATTCGCAACGAGGGGCTTCGATGCGAATGCTGAATCGCACGATATATCCGGAAGCGCGGCCTTGAAGGACGACACAGGAGATCTTACACGGAATTCTCGATTTGGTCACTCGGCGCATCTCCGTATGGACAACGATGGTACGACAGCGCTACCGATGGGGAATGTAATGAAGAAGACGGATATCCAGATCAGCGTCGAGCCGGATACTCTGAGCGAGAGAAGTACAAAGGTGCTACACGGAAGGGACAGCGGGGCGATGTGTTAAACACATGCAGACGAGACGAGGGCAAAAGGCCATTACTTAACGACCATTGACGCCAATACACTACACAATCCTCGGGTGCCGAGCCGCGAGGCTTGGTCCGAGCTTCCCCGTACTGCCGAGGATACACTGCATTCCTTTTTGTTTTACGACCTTCTTCATGCTGGTAGAGGGCTACACTAGACTTAGACGATTTCTTCACGATACCCACTTGCTCTTATATACTCATTTTAATGAACTATACGATTGTCAACACGACTTAGTCAGGCTTTCGCAGCAAGTATTGAAGTAGTGACTGTGGGTTTATCTACCTTACTTTTGGCAATGACTGACCGTGGAGAAGGCGGGCAGGTAGTCGCAATACGACGTGATGGGGTTATAATGCATCTAGACTACTATAAACACTGGTGATTACCCAACGAATGAGCACTACACTTGCAAATTCGCTGGCCGCACGCCTGAGTAAAACATGCTTGACACCTACAGTGCGGAGCGCGGGAGCGACGATCGAGCTTGTAAAGGTATCGTGAGATTTCAGACGTTCTAAGAAGAGAATCCAGGTCTGCTCTGTGTTTACCCGGACAAGAAACAAGTGTGCGCGATGCGACACCAATATCACAAACCAGAGTGTCGAAGGCTATCTCTTCAACCCTGATCCTGACCGAATAATCCATCCACCCATCCATCTTGGGCCCAGTCCGCCTCCCACACTGAGCCTTCCTTCCGAGCTAGAGCCGCGAATGCTCCTGGTGTCTCTTCAACCACACGCACATCGACACCAAGGTCGTTCAGCTGCGCGAAAACGTATGTCGAGACGTCGCCTTCGAACTCCTTAGGTCCAGCACCGTAGCCACACCTGCACAAAAGCACGATCTGATTCAGGGCTGGCACCTCCGTCTTGCGCTCGACTATCATGTTGAGCCATGTAAGAACAGCCTTGGTAGGACATATTACGGTGAGTGACTCGAGGCTCGCAGGAGGTATAATGCCGCGAAAGCAGTACAGCTCACCGAACGTATTGCGGGCCTCGAATACAAGTACACCTTGCAGAACCTCCATCTTCGTCAACTTGCGGAACGAGCTGAAGCTGTGCAGGTTCGTACAACCACCGAAACAACGCCTGGGATCGAAGTGATCACACTCCTCATAGTCGATCTTCATGGATTCCAAGCTTGCAGATACGTCTGTGTCCTCACCCAGAGCACGCGCAATATGCTCGAAAGTACCCAGCCACTGCTTAACAACAGTCGGGCTCCTCATGAAAAGTATCTCTAGACGGGTGATGGTAGATCCAGCGAAGTCTTGTAGCAGGATAGGAAGCTGGTAGCCATGACTCATATGGGCGTTATCGTTTAGCTCATTCCAGTCGCTTCGTATGATGAGTGTATGGAGGTTGGCACAGCGGGGTGAAAGGCACCGAGTTGATTTGTTGCCGAAGAAGACATGCTCCGGAGTGGGCAGATGCTCACTAAAGTACTCCCACGAGAAGTCGATCTCGAGGAATTGGAGGGAGATGAATGGGAATCTCAGTATGTCGATGCTCAAACCGGAGACTCTCAGGCGCTTGATGTTGTGGAATTGCTTGAAGCCCGACCAGCGGCTTGGTGGTTGCTGCATCAAGTCGCTGTAGATGCCATAAAGTGAGCGAACGACGTCGAAAGCGGGTATATCTATATCGTCCCTGTGATAATTGCCCATACAAAGCATGTCAAGATTGTCGCAAAGAGCAAGAAGCAGTCCAGCTAGCGAACTCAGCCGACCGAGTAACAGAGTGCACCGCCAATCAATCTCTTCCATGCTCTGAAATGGGTTCCCGGCCCCGAGAATGCTCAGACTATCGAGGCTTTTAGATATTTGTAGCACCAAAGCTCCAAGCTCGTCGCGAGATGTCGTTGGACGTGTTCTGGTGAATATGCTTCCGACTACCACAGTGTCACCATTGCTGTCGATACGCCAGCTGGTCGTGGACAACGTTAGTTGACGGATCTTGCTTCTCAGTTCCGGTCTTTCAACGATGGTGCGCACGAGGTAGATGACGCTGTCACCTCGGTTACGAGGCAAGCTGATCGTCCGATATAGGAGCTCATCGCCGATGGCTTTGAAGCGACGCGATGTCCGAATCAGGTTGCCAAGCGTCGGGTTGTCGCCCTCAATGTATCTGGCTATCTCAAGCAGCAGCTCGTCGGGGAGGACGTTGATGGAGCGGAGGTCAGGTCGAAGGATATCCGGGGACAGCTCGCTGACCACTTCTCTCAGCTTCTCCTCGATCACTGTCGGCGGAAGATCCATCGCGACAAAAGTCCCGGGCGGACTCCGTTGGCGATGTCAAATTGCTAAAGCAGTTAGCAAAGGCGTACGATGAACTGACGTGCATGGGGTGACTTACTTCTCTTCGAAGTTACGCCAGGATGGCGGGTAACAAAGGCTTGTGACGACAGTTGAAAGGTTCGCGGTAAACTTTTCAGCTTTACCAAGTTGGTGTATTCATTAACCACCTAGGCAACCAATGAGCGTGCTGCAAACGCCGGTGTCAGGCACGTGATACGGCGGCGACACACCGCCCGCGTCCGCTTGTAGCGCAACGTATTCTGTGCTCATCTTTTGATGTCGCGTCCAATCTGAAATGACTTGGAAGTTTTCTTCCCATTGTGACTACGTACCTAGAACCGGGGTATATAGGGCTCGTCTGATACTTCAATCTCAGTAGACGGGTACAAGTATGGACCTAGATCTTCTGGAATCCAGACGCATCTCCCGTTTACCCTCTCGCAATGTCCTCTCCAGTTCCATCGAATGAGGTGGTGCTTAATGACGCGCCATTTCACTGCAGCCCAGAGATCTTTGTCGTATTCTTCACCCCAGGCTCGCTTGTTGTCGAGCTTGTAATGGATGCGCAGAACCTCGTCGAGATCAACGTCTCGGATGTGTTGGCCTCTGCAGTAGTTCTGATACCATGGCATGCGATAGTTAGGAGCATTGGGATGATCTCGAAGAAGCTTTCTCAGCTTCATACGCTCATTATACACCAGCGCGTCGGCTACATCGTCTTTGCCGCGGCTGTCAAAAATCCTTGTACCGTCTTCCTTGTAGGGATTTCTTGGATCGAAGTCTTTGGGATTTTGCTTGGTACCTATCCCTTGGCCCTTGGTCCATTCATCGTATGGTAGAGGCTTTTTGCGACCTTTTTCAATCTCTTCGACCTTTTCTCGCTCCACAATCTCCTTGAAGTTTAACCCATCATATTGCCCGTAAGTGAATACCCAGTTTGAACCAGGCATTTCTGGCTTCCTGTCGATGAAGTGATACTTGAGTGCTATGCAAGTACATGTATCTTCATGTATACCTGTAGCGTAGATGAATGAGTTGATCCAAGAGATGAGGGTCTCGGTGAGGCTGCATCCGTGGTAGTAGCCGCCATCTGCATCGATCTTATAAGTGTTGTTTGCCCAATCGATGAGAGCACTGCGCAGAGCAGGATCTGCATCGACCCGTTCATCTTCGCCCGCTATCTTGGCTAACTCGCTGGGACTGAGTTCATCGAGAGTGCACCCTATGTGCATGCCAAATCGAGCCGGTAAACTTCAGTCTTCGTGCGCTTCGCATCCGGTGACAATGAATCTCCTCTCGAAAGAAGGTCTGGGGTCTCTTCGCGCTCTCTTTTAGGCAGCATGATTGGAAGTGGAGCGAAGGTGCTTCGTCGAATGGTAAGCAACGGATGGAAGAAGTTACGCTGCCTCGGCAGATGTTTTTTAATGAATGAAGATACTGCGAAGCGGGATGTTCCAGTGATGTAAATGAAACCAAGGTCAGACTCTGAATGATGGTGTCTCAGAGCTCACTCGTTCAAAGAAAACGAGACAACATGAAAGGAAGCGGGTTACACACAAAGACCTCTGACCTAAAGGTCTAGACTTCTCATCCGAACAGCACTGAATTCGGTTCAATATGCGCAGTACCAACCTAACAATCAGAGTCGGAGAACTTGGCAGGTGCCCTTACCAGTAGTCATCGTCGCGTGGCAGTCTGTATCACCTGGGCAGAGCTCGTCATCTCACATTCGGCTCATCGAAGACACCCTAATCTGTACCTAGGTACCTTCAGTGTTCTGTATACGGTCTTAGAGGACGTCGCTTTCGCGAGGTTGCAGGTGGTGAGGTACGGGCCCCACATGACACCCATCTGCGTCATGGCGCCGATCCAACCACGCCGGTTTCGTGCCTGGACGGGAACCACTAGATCGAATCGATCTATAGCCAGGTAGCGACACGAGTGAGGACTGTCACAGTATCGCAGTTACAAACATTCAAGCACAGAGCTATTGAAAGGGAACTGACATCACGACCGACAGCTTCCGTCGCAAGCTGCTGCAGGGGTCAATGTATCGTATGATTTGATGAATTACCGAGGTACATCGCTCCGGGCCTTCTCGACGCATCGCACCCCCATTTCGCATCTCCGCCACGCGCACGCTACACGCAGTAACGACGCTATGCGGCCATCCTTCACATCTTTGCCTGTATGAGACGCGCTGTACCTCCTTATCATTTTGCGTGAGAATTATCCGTGTACGATTGCGCATCCACTGAAATTGCACGCGACGTATGCGACAAAGCCTTTGGTACAGGCGTTTAGGACACGGCGGCATTAGCTTCGTCAATATTGTGGATAATTTTCGCGTCAATTTCATCCTATAACACGCCATCCATCGCACGATAACATTACGAGACCAGCAAACCTTCCATTCGATCGTCTCTGAGCTGCCTCCCATACCACCCACGTCACAACAGATCTACCGCTCCCATCTCATGAACAGCTCCATCAAGTCTCATCGAGACCTCGCCTCAGTGAAATACTGTATGCGGGAATGTCTGTTGCCCCGTTCGCGATCGCAACCTCGCGGATCATGGTGTATAGCATCTTGGTCTTGGGCCAGCGCGCCCGAGGCGGCATTGTGGCTCCCCTGCTCATGAGCAGTTCCAGTAACTCCTTGCTGTTTCGGTTGAGAGCAACTTCCATCGGCGAAACCGTCTTTGTGGACCGCTGGTACCTGGGAAAGGCGCCATTGACATCTGCACCTGCATCCAGGACCGCGGCGACGATCGGGATGTCGCTGACCTTGATGGCGCAGCAGAGGAAGTTGGTGAAAAGGGTTCCGTCGTTGATGTCCAATTCTTCGTCGTCCATAAGCAAGTTGACCATGTCAACATTACCAGTACGACATGCAATTGTGAAGAGGCGATTATTTACCAGGCTGCCTGATGGATTCAGGCGTAGGATAGACTCTACTACGTCTGTGTTTCCGTTCTCGATGCCGATCTCGAGCCACCCGTTGTACGTGCGCTTCTCAACCCTGCGAAAGATTGTCTGGCGGAACTTGACAAGCTCATCCACGAAGCGTGTATTGCCAGCCCGGATAGCGGAGCAAATCGCTTCTGCAAAGTTGTAGTCGTAACAACCTAGAGTATCACGTTTGACCGACTTCTTGAGGTTATTCAGGTGGTGTAAGACTGCATCGAAAAGCTCGTCGTGTTTCGAAGTCACAGCCATCACCAGAGGGCCTTCGCCGAAGGTCGTGTAAGGAGACCAAATCGCGGGAGGCATTTGCGCTAGCAGAGGGCGAATCAAGTCAATCGCCTGAGTCGACATAGCCGCTACGATCTTCTCCCAGTGGTGAATGTCCGCGCCGTTTTCTGGACTGTTCCTCAACTGAATGGCTGGGTGGCGGTAGGAACGCCTCCAACCCATCATCATATACATTACTTCGTCAGGACCAGTGACTTGGACAAGACCTTCAACCATGCGGGTCTCAGTCTCCTTCCGCTGTCCCTTCGGGATTGAGAGTTCCGAAACCAAATAGTCAATCATTCGGTGGATCGTATTAAGTAGCCGGTTGTCGACATCGGCGGGCTTGTTCAGATGGGCAAGTATATACGTTGTGATATTGGCAGTGATGACACCCGGGATCATTCCAACGATATGCTTGGGCTGATTGCTGAGCAGGTCATGCTTGATTTCGGCGGCGAAAGTGTGACAAACGCTTCGAAGTTTCCAAGTGGGCCTGGGGCGTACAGAGTTGAGCGAGTGGATGATGTTTTGGAATATCTCCGTCGGTAGATCGAGAAGTTGCGCCATGTTGAGTTGTTCTTGCGCTCGGTTGATGTCGTATACGGCGACAGGGTCGTTGGAAGATGGAGAGTTATATGTGGAGGAGCTAGTGGCTGGGGGTTACACTTTGTCAAAGACGCTAAACAGCGCGCTAGTGCCATATTAAGGTGTTCGTGTGAAAGGCCTTCGCCCTGCCTAGGGTAGGCCCAAGCGCTGAAGAGTTTGGTTACTTTCACTGCTACCATCACGAGAAGCGGCTCGAATTCGTGCCACATAAGTAGGGTTTGCTGCATACATCATATCGGATCTTAAGAAGTAAACAGCTTCCAAGATAATGTATCCTTCTATTCTGCATGTCGGATGTCAGGATATGAGAACGATGGTCCGTACCGTGGTAGAAATGCAATGAAATAGCTCTTGGGGTAATTATGTGCTAGGCCTCCAGCGATAATGGTGGGTGTATGGCTCTCGCTACTTGAAGCCTTACCAACTAGATACGCTTGCACCGTGTGTACTCGCATAGCCTGCCCCGTGACAAGGTTCCCTGCTTTCCATGCTGCAATCTCCCAGTAGTCGTGTATGCCCCCACGGATGTACCAGAGATCTCAAGACAGCAAGGGCTCTCTACTGCTTCTGCTTGGTCGTTTTCTCCTGAGAGGCTTGCGCATTCCGGATGATGACTTGCATCTTTTTTGAGAGGTGCCAAGTATAGGTAGCAGGAACGCTGGCTCCACATTTGATCAAGTAGCACACGGCGTCGAAGTTGTTCAGATAGATGGCGTACTCAAGTGGTGTAATGGCGTCGCAATGCTTCAGACGATGGGTCGTTATAACCAGATCAATGTCTGCACCAGCTTCGACGACTGCGCGAATTACCGCAACACCACCAGCTCTTATGGAAGCCGCCAGGGCTGACATCTGGGCGCTACTAGAGTCTAGCTGAATGCTTCCGTAGTTGATGAGAGTGGTAACGATGGCTGAGTCTCCGGTCTTAACGCCCCGTTCGAAGATAGTAGTGTTGATATGGAAGGGCTTGGTGTCGGGTGCGGCTTGCAGAAGAGTTCTGAGGACGTTGTTGCTTCGTGAGAGAATTGCACGATCAATCCACTGACGATAATAGGTTTTGTCGGGAAGAGTCAGGTAGCGACGAAGGTAGCCAAGCAGTAGCTTTACCATGTCGACGTTGTCATCTGCGATAGCTGGTTGCATGGAGCCAAGCATACTGTATGGAGAACCGACATTCATTACCTGACTCCTTTTGAACCTCTTGGACTTTTGTTCGTCCAGGACTGTCATCATAAGAGTGATCATCTTGTGATCATCTTGTAGAACAGCAGCTAGCATTGGCTCTTTAAACACATCCCGCGAGAGTGAGGTAGGAGCTTGGGGTAGTAGTCTTGAGACTACGTCATAAGCACCTACACTTATCGCCGCGATGAGCTGGTCATGATAGGTGATATCCTTGCTCAGTGGTTGGCGCAGTTTCTTGTATGTTTTCTCGCTCACGAGCGAGGTTGAGTCATTCCGCCAGAGAAAGGTAATAAGAAACGGACATGTCTGCGCAACGCCTGCACAAACCTCCAGGAGAATGTTACGGCCGTCGAGATTGTCTGTTGCGGTGAGCTCCTTGGTGACATACTCCACCATTTTCTGTATCTTGGCGGGAAGCTCCGGTAAGACATCGCGTGGACTCTTGACGTGATATGCGAGGTAGTGCTTCATGTTGTCTTTGCGGGCGAGTAGGGACAAGGCATAGTAGCCGCGAAACGCCTGTCTAGGTTGTACGGCTAGAATGTTTGCGCTGATCTCCTGATCAAAGGTTCCTATGAAATTATCAGCCCTGAGCATTTGCGCGACCACGGGAATGAGAGTCTTACGGCATACGCTTCGCAGTTTCCAAGCACATAGGACACCAACATCACTGACCAGGCAGTTGATGACGTGCCTGAAGATCTCAGGCGGGAAGTCGAGCAAGTCCATCGCAGTGACTGAAGTCGTTACTCCAAGCTCGTCACTTCTCGAATCTGGCTCACGTTAGTGCATATCGCAATCAAGCTGACGGGGGTTATTTACGTAGGGGTTTCAGTCGTTGCAGTCGCGACACAGTGCGGTGGAGAAAGGAAGGAAGCAGAGTGGGTTGCCTCAATAGGGAAAGGGCCTGTGTGCCAAGCTTTCTTGGTCCAGACAGAGGTAAAGGTAGTCGCAATCGTCGGTCACCTCGACTTATGTGTCGCCTTGGCAACTGCAATTCGAGGCGAGCGCGACTTTGATGACGAAATAGGCCGTCATAGGTATCAGGCAGCCATGAGTTTGAGCAGAAAATAATGACTTTTAGGTAAATGCAGTAGAGGTATGTGCAACTTCAAACGCCGTGTGCATCATGATAATGAAAAAGTGCCCAAAAGAAAATGCCTACCTTGATCGCAAATTCGCTTGTGTAGGTAATCCCCCAATCTTTCTCTGGGGAGTACGTCAAGCAGAGTACGTAGTAAACTCAGAGCTTCTCCTTCTCTTTGCGTGACAACTTGCGGAATTGCGCAAACTCCTCCGGAAGGTCATTCCCACCGCCTGCTTTCATCTTGGCCTCTCGCAGAATCTCATAGCAAATACTGTACTTCCACTGGGTGGGCCAAGTACATACCTGGGGCAGTGGTGAACCCACCTTCAACAGATAGCGAACGACTGAGTAGTTCTCCCTCTTGATCGTGATCATGATAGGCATGACCTTCTTCCCGCGCAAAAAAAGCTCTTGTTGGACGTCTGCACCAGCATTTACCAAAGCTTGAACGAGACGGACGTTATCCCCATATACTGCTTCGACCAGTGGTGATGTTGCGAATTTGTGGTCGTTGGCATCAATGTAGCCATCATCCAGGAAAAGCTGTACCACATCATCACGATCATCGGAACAAGCCTTCTGAAAGTAATGCCAGGTGATCTTTCTTGGGGAACCTTGCTTATCGTACGGAATTTCGAGGATGCTTCGCACGGTTTCGACACTGCAATGCACGAAGGCAGTGTCCAGAAACATGTTGTAGATAGCTTTGGAGAAAGTAAATCCCCGGCCCGTGTACCATTCGACGAGGATGCTCAACAGAATCTCGTCATCTTGGCGTATGGCGCCGTGTACTGCCTCTGTAATCGAAAAGCCTCCGTTGCTGGAAACCAAGACAGCAGATCGTGCGCGTGTGGTTTCATCTTCTTCGCCCATAGCTGTTGAAAGCCCCCCTAGTATGGCCTCTACAGCGGCTTCGTGACCCAAAATTGTTGCAGCGTGTAGAGGTGCACCAAAGATAGGGTGGACGGCAAAGTCTGTGAGCTCTTGTATCAAGGTCGGTACGAGAGGATGAAGTTCGAGACAGAGGGCAGCGACCAGCTTCTCGAAAACCCCGAATAAAGGTATTTTGGTGATGTTTGGGTAGGCCAGTACTGCGCTGGTCCCGCGTCTCAATATTGACAGAATCTTGGAAGACGAGCAGAACCAATGAAGGTTGTCGCAAAGCCCTTGTCGCAGGGTGTCCTTCTCGTTTGTTGAATTGATATGCAGATCTTCGGCAAGAGAATTCACCATGTCGCTGACCACGTTTGGTAGATAAGAATCCGCATCCAGAAGTGCCTTACTCCTATAGTAAAGATAGAGTCCAGAATTGTTATCGAATATGCGCGCTCCAGGTCCAGTCAAAGCGACAACAGGCTGCTTGGCGAAGATTTCGTAAATTATGGAATCCTTGAAGGTACCTTTTCTCAATCAATGCGCATTCTTGACTTGCAGGTTTTCGTTCATTCACTTACGACAGACTTCGCGGAACTTCCAGGCCGCGTTGATACCAACGACGGAAACAAGTTCGTGAGTGACGTTGTCGAATACCTCTGGCGGGAGCTCGAGGAGTAGCATTGTTGTAGACTGCGCCGGTGGATGTTTGTCGTTGCTTCTTAGCTGTGAGACACTGAAGTCAGCATTGTCTGAGAAGTCCAGGTGGCTAAGGTACCGTAGTAGTCAGTGTACTTGCTTGGGTGTCACTGTTTAGGTTTGAAGATGGGAAAAGAGAAGACAGGAAAGGAAAGAAGCTTCTTATAGTACTGAGACTACCCTGCAATGTGGGCGCTACTACCGTGGCTTCTCTCTCTTGGTAAGAGAGAGATGTAGATAAGCTAGCAAAGAACTCTCGTGTTTCTTCCGCGGTACCTGAGGTGAAGGTGAGGCATGCATGCTCCATGAGGTGAGGTCGTCCAACTCGTCCCAGTATCAAATCCGGTGCTTGCTTCGCAATTTCTCAAGCCTATCCTCCTCGCTCTGCAGATATGCCCCCTCGTCCTGCTCCATTCTGTTCTGACTCTCCATGAACGTTGGGACCTTATCTCCACTCTGCTTCATCCTGGCGTCTCGCAAAGCGTTGTACGGCTCTGGTTCTGATATCGTGTACCAAAGGTCGACGTGACGCACGACAGCGCCTCGCTGAAGAAGATACTCGACTGCAGCCATCGGGTGAGCGGCGGCGAACTCCAGCGGACTTTCATTCTGGGCTGGTGCCCCACAGTACTTTTTCGGCTTGGTAGTCAGGTAGTCCGTCTTATTGATGTCGGCGCCAGCATCAAGAACTGCTCTGATAATAGCAGTGTCGTCGTCCGTGGTCTTGATGGCGACATGGAGTGGGAGGGTTTGCGCGGAACCCTTGTTGACGTCTACTTGTCCTTCTGATAGCAGGACTTTGACAATGTCTAGGCTATGGGCTTTGCAAGCATAAAGAAAGACGTCTGCGGTGACTTTCGGTCCATATGGAGAACGTAGCACTATCTGGCGTACTATCTCCGCGTTTGGAGGCTGGACGAATCTCACGGCTTCTCGCAGACTCTGCACGTACACATCCCTCACGCCTTTGTGATCATGGTACGACCTCTTCAGAAACTCTGTGAGTCGACCGACAGTACGGGCAGAGTGCTGGTGTATCGCAAGCCTGAAAGCATAAGGTATGTAGAGGCTCTCAAGAGTACTCTTTCCCTGCCGGCGCTTTGCATGATCCAAGATCAGTTGTAAGGTGTCTTGATCGTCTGTAACCACTGCTGCAAGAAGCGGACTCATACGTCGAATCGCCATGTCGTGTTCTCCGAGTTGTGGTAGTAGATCTTCGCGCATCTCGTAGTCACCAAGCGCTGTTGCCGCGACAACCTTCTCCTCGGATGTGAGCCCTGAAGAAAAGGCGGTTTTGCACCATCGATGATGTAGATCGCAATAGCTCTCTGGAGGATCTAGGTACCGTATAGCGTAGGAGAGGTCAGGGAAGGTTATCGTTTGTGCCATTACGGCGCATACATCAAGAAGCTTCTTCTCCTTCTTGTCGTTGGCAATGTCCAACTCTTGACAAAGGTATGAGTGTGTGCCCAAGATGTTGGCCTAGTATTGGGATTAGTAAAAGAATGAGTAAAAGGTACCACGTAACAGCGCTAAATTTACGTACCGACAAGCTGCTCATACTGTCGACAGGCTTCTTGACTCGGTAGTAGAGCCATTCTGGCATTAAATGCGACATAATGCTACCACACCAGCCCCTATCTGCGTACCGTAACTCTTCCGTCTGGTAAAGAAGTATGTCGTCTTTGATCGCGCTGGCAAAGGTGGTGCAGACGAGACGCTGCTTCCACGTTTCCCGCATACCCTCGAGGCAGAATAGATGGTGTGCAATGATGCCGACAACCTAGGCGGGCACCTCGACGTGGGCGAACCGCATGGCGACGACGTACCTTCCCAGCTTCCCAAGAATGCGATTTCCGTTGGATTGTTGGTCGCAAAATGGTGGAAGCCAAAAAGGCGTGGGTCACTAGCGGCGCCAGAATCAGGCACCAATCACGTGTTCACGCGTCTCGGTACTCCCGAGGTCCCACCTGTAGTGTTTCAGGGTCCAGCATTGGTGCACGCGTCAGCACTGCGCATTCCACCTGTAGGCAGTGAAATGGCAGGTGATGCGCAACGATCAGTCTTGGACCTCGTCCTCCGTATATTCCTGCAGCAAGTCCTTGCGGCCGGCGTACGGCGACGGCTCGACATACGTGCCCTGGAAATGTGCCATCCAATTCTCTCCTATTTGCGCCGGCGTGCTTTCCTGGTCGACTGGGATTGCCGTATTGCTATCACGGACGCTCAAGTCACCTAGGTCGAAACGAACATTCCCTTCGCCTTGTTGTATCTCTCGCATAACGCGTGTGAACGATTCAGAAAAGAAGCAGCAACTGTCCATGAGACTAAGCGGGCTTATGGGACGTGGAGCGAGCGGTTCGATTGCTCTTTGCCACCTGGCATCCTCGAGCATTTGCTCAAGGAGAGCGAGCGTACTTGCAGAGTTCCTGGAGTGAAAGGTCACAGAAAAGCGATCGGGAGACAATCTCGTTGAAAGAGCCACGGCTTCCTCGAACCACCGTATGAAGGCCTGAGAGACGCGCACTCGGTCTATATCTCCATCGATATCCCAGGGTCGCCCATCTCTGTAGCAACCTACAACTTCCTCGAAATAGGGCTGACCGACGTTGCCTTTGATGGCGGTTGTGATGGCAGTAGTCTTTGTATCCACTTGGCGACATATACTGATGCGGGGATAGTGTTGCATTATGCTGAACAGACCCAGGCCATGGCACTCTGGTCTTGCTACGCTGGCATGGACTTCATCGAGCACGATGTTGCGGATAACGGACAAAACGCTCGGGTCTAGACCGTTGAGAAATTGTATGGCAAGCGCAGCTGCGGAAAAGTAGCGCTTGGTGGGACCGTCGACACACATGGGACGATATCTCTTTGGCGAACTCCAAGAGATGCATTGTTCTTTGAGCGAGGCGATATCTTCTGCGTTGGGTATCATCCAAGGGTCAGGAATGCCAGGGAGCAGCGATGCGACATTCCGTTGTTCAGGTCGCTGCCCGAGGACCTCGTCAACTTTCAAAAGCTCCCACGACCTCTTTGTCTCCTTCTCCAGGGCCAGCATAAATTTGATAAATCTACGATGAGTAGAAGGTGGATGACGCCATAGTCTCCAGTCATGCACCGTTTGCACGGGGAACGGTTCATGCCTAGCATGACCTCCGCGAAGGCGGTAAAGCAGGGGAACACATTCGGGAAAGTCCACTCCGGCACGCTCAATCATATCGTCGGTGATGTCTTTACGAACCCTGCATAGTTGGTATGCGGACTTTACATAGATCCATTCCAGAGCAGTTGCAAAGGACGCGGCTCTATCGCTCGTCTCACGGTCGACCCATCCCGTCCGGAAAGTGACGGTATTTGTTTGAAAGACGACCGGCCTCAACTCGTGAGCTACTCGACTGCAGGTTTGGATGAATGAGAGATCGATAGGAGCGCCGTTGGCTGCGCGTAACCTGCGCGTGCGCTGGTTATAGAGATAGCCGCCATCCTGGGCGGCATAGTAGGTATAAATCTCATCCCGTAACTCTCGAGGCAGATCGAAAAACCCCGTCATGGCAATGTTGTAAGTGGTGACGGGTTGCGGGATAGGTTGAATGTTCTGATGAAATGCGTGAGTGATGATGGACAAACAACGAAGGAGCGAGCCATGGACCCCACACATTTCGCCAAGAGGAAGCGGTAGCGAGAGCGCTCAACCATAAGCCGCGATGAATGGAGTGAGACTAGCGACATCGCTGTGCCAAGCAACACCGATGCCTAGAGCACTGCGTTGTCTCTGTGGCAGTGCGTGTAAGTGCAAAAAGCACGTAGATTGACCGAGACAGTGTCGGTTGAACAATTGATTCGCGTGCCAACACACCTCAACCGGCATGACGTCTCTAGTGTATCGTAGATAACCCAAACGCCGTAACAATGCAGCCTGTATAGGGATAGAGACCCATGTACACGATATGATACATTCCGTCATTGTAATCCATCCGTCTCTTCTGTACACCCGCTCATGATGCCATCACCTGAAGTTGGCTGTTCCTGGCACGTCCTTGATCTCCTCAAACTTGGTGCCCATCTTCACAACGCTGTATCTTATCAACCGAGGGTCCAAGCTCATAGTTCGCCGTAAAGCGTGCTGTGTGCGGGCGCTCGCATCGAAGCGCATAATGAAGTGGTGGCCGTAGTGGTGTGTGGTTTGCAGCTTCTTCGCTGGCTTTGGGAGGAGGAAGGTGCCCCAGTTGGAGACGCCGCGGACTACGCCTTGTTGATCGAGGACAATCTTTCCGGCGGTTCTGGCGATTCTGGAACATATTGGGTCAGCGTTTGGCTGGGGGTGTTGGAGGGCGAATTTACTCTTTGACTTCAGAGAGGCGGCCGGGCCGTACCTGCACTTGTTAGCATGTACTCTGTTGATCAATGCGACGCTCCTCATACCACTCCGATCATCTCGTACAGCATCTTGCCTCGTTTGCGCCGTGGTGTTGCTGCCGTCTTGCCTTCCGTCGCGAAAAGTGTTCGAATGCGGCCAACCTTTCCGTAATCGCGGAGGAGCTCCACCAATGTCTTGGCGCGTGTTATCACCTCTCCAGCGCGCGCAACTTGAAGCTTCACAACCCACACACAATCTTCTACAATGGCTGCCCGGACTTCAATCGCACGCGCTGCGCGCCTATTCACCTCCGCCGCCGCGAGGAGGCCGTCACCTTTCGTCTGCCAGAGGTGGCAGCAGGCGACTCAGAAGCCACGGTTATTCTCGGTATCTGCCGCACGTACGCACATCTGAAGCTCTGAGAAGCAATTGAGAGGCGAGCATGGGTGCTGACTGAGGGCAGTGAAGGAGAAGAAGTATACCGAGGACCATGAGTGGATTGAGATGTCCGCAGACGGCAAGACATGTATGCGCACCCTCCCCCACATCCCCACATCCCCATACGCCCTTACCGCCCAAGCGCTCTGTGACTGACACATCGCGTAGGCACCCTAGGTATCTCCGAATACGCGGCTAAGGCCCTCGGCGACGTCGTCTACATCGAGCTACCCCAGATCGAAATGGACGTTAGCGAAGGCGACGCCATCGGTGCTGTCGAGTCCGTCAAGTCTGCCTCAGACATCCTCACACCTATCTCGGGTACCGTCGCGGAAGTCAACTCAGCGCTGGAGCAGACTCCAGGCAATGTCAACAAGGACCCCGAGGGCGAGGCGTGGATCGCCAAGATCACAGTGTCTGGAGAGCCAAGCGGCAAGACCATGACCAAGGAGGAGTACTCCGAGTTTACTGAAGAGTAGACGTGCGGGAAGGAGTTTGGGGGAAGGACGGATGCATGGGATATAGGCACCTTGGCGCATACTTCAACATGAAACGCGAAACTTCAGTCAAAATTTCACTCTGCGCGTACCAGCCATCGAAAGCGCCATACTTGCGAGAGAGACTACAGAAAGTTGACAGCAAACAGCATCGCACTAACATCCCAGGAATTTGGTACATTTCTACTCCAAACGATCCTCCTCTTCCCATGTTGTTTCCGACTCCCCAATCCTGTCCACAGCTTCAGTCACCATCTCCGAAACCTCCAAATACAGATCACGAAAAGCTTCCTCCTTCCCTATACCCCTGCCCTCAAGTATAATCTTATCATCAACGACAAGATACATGACGTATGTGCTGTCGCGCGCAGGGCGACTACCCATCTTCCGCACACGAAAATACACGTCCGATCTGATATCCAGCTGAGGGAAGTAGCCTTGCTTATACAGCCAGGCCATGTTTGCTACTCAAGAGGTCAGTAAGCGTACAAAATATTTGAATACGGCCGATCAAGCGAAAAGCGAGGGAAATGAATGAGCGGGTCATGGTGAGGAGGGAGTTACTCACTGGTCAAGCTAACGTCGGATTTAGAGACCCGGAGCAAGAGCTCGTTGAATCCAATGGAGATGTCTTGTAGTGACAGATATTTGCGATCTGTATCCTGTCAATCAGGCGCGCTCTCATTCGAGTGGGTCTCGAACCAACGTACCATTGGCATGCCATAGTCTAGTATCTTCGCGCTCAGCGACTTCCTCAGCTGACTCGGTTGAAGTAGATGGCGACTTCGGTGGGCTTGTTGTGGACTCAGAGGGTTTCTCTTCTTTTCCAATGCCCATGAACAGGGCGACGCATCCCAGCATAGTCGTGGGAGGGAGCATACACAAGACGCATATCGTGATTAAAATCATGGCTTGATGTTGTAGCTTCATGCACTAGAAGGCTTATTGGTTTCGAGAAAGCGAGGGCTGATGGTGAGTGCACACTTCGCTTATATATATAACATTCAGCGCTTGATATCTGGCTGTCGCTATGCGAACCTTGGGAGAGATGTTCAGGAAGCGAGAATAGCCAGATTATGTCTTCCACGCGCCAGAGATGACGAGCCAACCACACCTTCCGCAATTCATACGACCCATGAACAATGATATGGTCTCGAATGAGAAGTATGGGAACTCTACAAACTTCTTCCCAGTGTCCCAAGGTTCACGTATCTCCGTCACACTACGCTTTTGACCCCTCGAAAAAAACATTCAAATACGCCCGCCCGCACCAACACCTCGGTAATCCAGCTGAAAACCTACAAGTCGCACCGCCGCATACATTCCTAAGGTACGGCTGACCACGAAATCTAATCAAAACTCCAACATGACGAACGGCAAAGCCATAACACCCTGCGAAAGCGCCCTCACCACAGGCCCAACTGTAGATCCCAATCGACCATCATCTCCAAGGCCCTTGGAGTCAAGATTAAAAGTACTACTGGGAGTGATGGAATCCCGCCCGAGGCCCACTTTCACACAATCGCAAGTCGCAGTCGAACTCAAATCGGCATTCTCACGTTATTTTTTCATCTACGACAACGACGATGAGGATGACGAAGATGATGGTGATGTGTGGCTGGAAAAGAGCATAGGTACACAAACTCCCGCTCCAATCCGACTCATATCCCGCTATGCCGTGACACTGTGTACTTCCCTCAACATGACCAGCTAACACTAAAGCCAGAGAACCTATCTTTCCTCGCCGTAAACAACCGCTTTCCTTCCAGTCTTTCGCTGAAGGAATTTGCAAAGATCGACGTGTTGACCTCTCTGCGGGGTCATGATCAGTATGCCATGCTCCTGGTGCACGAGAACCAGGTGTTGGCCGAGGGACAAGCTGGCGAACATGGGAAAATGGCCAAGGGCTTGTTTAAGTCGATTGCGATGGAGGTGGGGAAGGTTATCAAAGAGAGGAAAGAGATGGGTGAGAGATGGGTTGGCGCGTGAGAGGAGAGGGGAGCTGTGTAGAGGACTGAGATATTGGTGTTGGATATAGTGTGCATTGAAGACTTATAGCTATGTACATACCAAACCACCAGTTGGAATTCATCCTCCGCCGTCCATATTTCCCTTCCTTACACCCCACACGTTCTACCAACGACCTATCCAGTCCACACATTGGGTCCAGGGCAAGTATACGTAGTAGCCTTGCTACCATATGTATCAACCATGATTCCTGGGTCACTCTGCGCCGCGTATCCGGGAATGTTCGCCAAGTAGTCACCACTCGGAGAAGCACTGCCAGAACCCGTGACTTCGATTTGTGCGCACTCAGCATAGAACTGAGGTGAGTTGGCCTGGTGAAGAGCAAGAAGCTCGTGGCGAACGAGGTAGTTGCCCGGTGCGAGGGATGTGGGAACTTTGGACTCCCAGTACAAGTTCTTGAGGACCTTGGCGGTGCCCCAGCTGCGGCCGGAGAGGGGAGGCGCGGTCATGCCTTCTTGGTCGATCTAGCCAGCGTCGTTAGTAGGAGATTTGAATGTGTCAGACTTGATGATGTGTGTACCTTGAACCACTTCTTTCCAGAACCGTCGCAGCTCTTGAAGTCGCCAGAGCACTTGTACATCCAGACCATAACAGGCCCTTGCTCGTGTGTCCATTGCTTCCAGTTTGCGCGTATCTTCCCGCCGGCTGCTACCTTGGCGGAGAGGTCGGCTGAGGTGCCGCCGTTGCACATGACCTTCTTGTCGTTGACGCTCATGGTGGGGTTGTAGTCAGGCCATTGTCGTTGGATGGTCTTAGGTGAAGAGGAGGGCGAGAAGCCTTCGTATCTAAGGTTGAAGTTAGGTACTTGTCTTGATGGTACTGCTGGTGTTGAGGGATGGCTTACCCGGGGTATGTCACTCCGTCGATGACATAGCTGGTGACGGCGCCGTGGGCTGCAGCTTGGGCTGCGAGGAGCGCTGTGGGTAAGAAGACGTTTGAGAACAGCATTTTTAAGGCGAACAATGTATGCTTCCAGGTGTGATATGATCTCCATCCCTTCTGCACCCCAACCTTATATACTCGCGTCATTGCAGCACCGCCCTACCTCTACGCCCACCACTACTCTCCAATATCCCTCATGATCACATTACTACAGCCCACCACTCACCTCTTCCTGACAAACCTTGTCGCGCCCACTTCACATGAACGCGATAGTACTACCTCAATATCCACGTAATATACAAAGATGCTGTGCCCGGACCGGCTAAACACCATTGGCTGCACAACACTATACGTGCTTCGCTAGCGAGCGAGCCTCCATGTCGGCTCTTGGGTCCCGAGCCAGATCGGCAAGATGATGGGACCGCGAGCGGTACCCCGGATGTTTAATCTGCATGCGAAGGTGGGGATGTGCGGCGTGACGAGGCATAAGGTGAATGGCGCATGTGTTGTCGTGTAAGCGACGATGTTCTGGAATAGAAGGAAGCCACATAGAAATCGTAAGAGGTGTCGGTAGCAGTGAGAAGAAGTTTTAATGGGGTCGTCGCTTCAGGTGCTCGTTGCGAATGAGTGCAGCGACGAACGATCTAAACACCAGCCGGTAGTCGTACAATGGCGTAATGGCTTGGTTTGTAAGTAAATTTGGCCGGATGAGCCTCACACTGTAAGATGAAGAGCATCTTCCTAATCACCTTACAAGGCGAGGTTCATGTTGGCTGCGCAATCGTGCTAACGACCAATACCTGTCTGAGGTGTGAATGCCACGTGCAGGATGCGCCTGGATGCACTTCGTAACAGTTGTCGCTTGAATGAGACCTGCCAACAGTGGAGCACGAAGCAAAGACCCCCGATGACCTCATGAGAGCGATGATAAAAGTGATGGAAGTCGCGAAAGCGCACTGGAGGTGTCAGCACGAGCACCAGGCGGAGGCGCTAGCCGACACGCTAGCTGGGTGCGTGCACCTGCCACTGGGCCTTTCTTAGCACTCCGCGAGTTTCATCAACTACACATGACACAGAGAGTGCAAAGAGCAAGATCATAAAGTGGGAATTCATTGCGAAAACGACTGTGACCCAAGGCGTGGTCTGGTATCTCTCACCCTGTCCAAATTTTGCAAGAAAAAAACATAAGCGCCTTCACTGTACTAACAGATGATCTAAAAGTTCTTCGACGCTTCAACCCCCTTTCCGTCTCCTCCGTGCATGATTTCTTCATCGTAACGATCAGCATCGCTATCGGTGTAGGCGACACTGATGTCAGTGATCTCGTCGCCGACTTCCATCCAGACGTCGCTGGTCGCTGGGATAGGGCTGATCTTGCACAGCGCCCAGTATGTGATGCTTGCGACCAGGAAGCCAGCAAAGAAGTTGAGGTCATAGATGCGCTTCGCACCGATGGGTACGTCGCGACCGATAGCTCCTGCGAACCCGACGACGTTGATGAGGATACCCGCAATGTAGGCTGCGTAGCCACGCCAGTGGAACCCAAGGGTATAGTAGTAAGGACCAGTCTTCTTTCCAGAGTATAGGTCCTTGATCTGGAGGTAACCTTTTCGGACGATGTAGTAGTCGCAGATCATGACACCTGCAATGGAGGAGAGGAAGACGGAGTAGGCAGAGAGGTAGGTTGTGAAATTGTTGGTGTCGGAGAGGAGGTTCCATGGGCACATGACGAGGCCGACGAGCGCACAGATGTATCCACCACGTCTGATACTGATCCATCGGGGTGCAAGTGCTGTCATATCAGTTCCGGCACTGATGGAGTTCGCTGCGATGTTGGTTCCGAGTTGGGCGAGCGCGAAGGCTGCGGCGATGCAGAAGACACCGAAACGTTGCGCTGAGCCACCCTCATCCAGGAAAGACTCGAGCAACTTCAAAGGATCCCAGATAGCCTCGCCGAAGATCACAGTGGATGACGATGAGACGATGATACCGATGAACGAGGTGATGGCAAATCCAATGGGGATAGTAAGCAGTTGCGGAAGGAAGGCGTTCGATGGCTTCTTCGCAAAACGGGCGAAATCAGGGTCGTTGACGATCAAGGTAGCGAAGTTCGCAATGGCACTCATGATTCCGCGGACCATCATCCAACCAAGCGCAGATCCGCTGAGTGTACCTTGTTGATGGACAATCGGGCCCAATCCCTTCGCACGAACGACAGCCCAGATGAAGAAGGCGACGCCAGCAGTCGGAACAACATAGGCCTTTACGGTAAACAGGTGGCGGATCTTGTGTACTGGCGGGTAGATGAAGGGTAGCGATCCAGCCCAAAACAGGAAGAAGGACACAAAGGCGACGGTGGTCGTGCCGGAGCTGGGGATGCCGTTGGTGATGCCACCTGTACCAGGGCCCTCAGAGTCTCGCCAGTTGTTCCAGATGGCGCGAATCATGAGGCGAACACAAGTACCGCCAATCCATGCTTGTACGCCGTACCAGATACTGGCCATGGCGGCACGGTTGAAAACGGGCCATAATGCTCCCCAGATACCGAAAGATGAACGGTTGACAACGGGGAAAGAGATGTGGTATGTTGCGCCGATACGGCCAGTCATGCAGACAAAGCAGGCAGCGATGGAGTAGCCAAGCTATCAGTTGAATCAGCGAATGTCGGTCTAGTTAATATCGATTTCCATACCCAGACACATATCCAAGATTGCCACCATGAAAGACCGTCAACGATGTTTGCGGACGAGATCATCCACGTGTTGATGTTGAAGGAGTCAGCTGCACAGTATTAGCCTAAGTCTGTCGTTGCTTGAGAAAATGTTCGACGTACCGACCCAAAAGCCCACGAAATTCCAAGCACCCCATTGACGACGCTCCGGCTCGACAGGCTTCAAATCGTGGTTGAAGAGCATAAGCTGCGCTGTGGTGAGGTTGGGTTCGCTCTCCAC